TTTCAAGCAGACTCATTGTAGCTCGAAGCTATTTGAGATACTAGTTCCAATATACAAAACTTATTGCAGTAATAACAAGAATTAATATAGTTCCTTGAAATAATTGTTAAATACTGTAAATTATGTAAATCAAATAATTGCTAACAGTTCAATTACACTTCTGTGAAACGATCTGTTATTTCATCTTATGACAAGATGGTGTGTTTCTCATGGAGATTCGCTGCTATAGATTCCTTATTATATAAGACAAACTCTCACTTTGCTATTATTTTGCTAATTTTAATTTTGCACTACCCGAGCTGAAAATATGTTTCAAAAGCAACAAAAGAAAATTTGTAAAAAAGTTTTTAAAATTATAATCTGCTCCATGGAGCTAGGCATGAACTTTGGAAGCATCAAAATTTTTTTTCTCTGACTGGAATCTTTTAAATTTAAATACAGTTCTTTTTTAAATCTATAACGTACACCGAATAACACCACTCGATGGTTCAACGTTGACACACGCGAAGCCTCGAGCGCGACTATTTCCAGCCTCCCCAAAAATATTGCATCGATACGCACACACTTTGTATCGCACTTGTAACGAAAGGGTTACGACTGAACTCCTCGGTTACGGAGAAACGGTTGAAATTAATCAGGAAACCGGAGACATCGGGCACGTGAAGTGACGAAGTGCTGGTGTCATTCATCATCCGTCTCGTGAGATGGAGGCGAAACGTGTACCGCTCGTGATTGCATCACATAACGCAAAGTCGGGAAACCTGACAAGGAACGTGTCAGGAAAGTCTGACGTTGAACGGGAGCCTTGGTGAAAATGTAGAGCACCGCCTACGGTACGAACTGGTCGAGGTTCTCTCGAAATGTCGTTATCCCGATCGATCATCGAAGCTTGGCGCTTAAGTATACATCACTTTTCTGAAAAAAAAAAAAATAATACTGAAACGATAGTGGAATTACGATAACGGCCTGTTGCGTAACACAGAACGAGCACGTTCTCTTCCGTAACTCGTTATCTTCATCACGAGCCATAACTTTGCGTGTTCAACACCGTCGACGCACCCTGTGCGTCTTGTGCTATTGATACTATCTAACGAAGGACGCATTGTATGTGTCTCGTATTGTATACAAGGATGACGCACCGCATGCGTCATGTGTACGATACAAAGGCGACGCACCGCATGCGTCATGTATACGATACAAAGGCGACTCACCGCATGCGTCATGTATAGGATACAAAGGCGACGCACCGCATGCGTCATGGATACGACACAAAGGCGACGCACCGCGTGCGTCTCGTATAGTATACAGTGGTGACGCACCGCATGCGTCGTGTATATTATACACTATGCGACACAGCATATGCGTCACGTATACAATACACTATGACGCGCCATGTGCGTCACGTATCTAAAATATTCTAAGACGCACCATATGCGTCTTCTGAAAAACTTACCACCGAGTATTGAAGAAACAGTTTTGCGTGAAAAATTCTACTGCTTTCTCTGGTAAAAAGGAAACATAGGATCAATGAAACATGCTGATATTACCGGTACGTGCCAGATATGATCGTAGCCGAGCTGTCCAAGCGACCATAACTCACTTGTACGCTAAACGCGAATCTAGAGCGCGGCTTACACTTAACGCGGCAATGTGTTAGCGTGCAAGGCGAGCGGTTCGAAGGGATTAAGGGAAAATTGTTTAATATGCACGTTACGGGGAACATACAGGGGGGGATTTCATTTACGTCAGTCCGCGAAGAAATTGTTGCGTCACGATGGTGAATTCTGGGTCAGCGAGAAGATTGGATGGTGGTTTGATAAATGCATTGTTGGAAACTGAGAGACTGCCGGATGCTAAGGTGAAGGTTGTGGAGAACGAGAAACGTGCGGGATCTGTTTCTGGATTACGTGGAGGACGTATGGGGTTGTTCGATAATAATACTGATACTTCAACCCTTAAAGCTTGAAAAATGTATGAAATATTGGAAACAGAGGAAAAATGAATTATTTCATTTTAGACTCCATAAGAATTAATCAAGGACGGAATTGAAATAAACTTACAAGGACGCACCTTATGCGTCTCTTATAGTTACAAGGACGACACATCGCGTGCGTCACGTACATGATATACTCAACGACGCAACGTGTGCGTCATGTACAGTATGCAAGGACGACGCACCATATGCGTCCTGTACAGCATGCAAGGACGACGCACCATATGCGTCACATATCTAATACACTCAGTGACGCACCCTATGCGTCTTCTGAAAAAATTAGAAAATGAAGTATATTCAAGAATTTTGATAAAAATGTTAAGTTCACTGATCATGAATCATTAATTCCTTACGTCTGCGTTACTATTATGAAAAATTCTTATGAAACACTGATATTAAGGTTCATAGATGGTTATCTATTGTTTCATAATGTGTTTCGAAATCGTCTAGAGAATTCTTATCGCACAATGAATAGTAATACGTTTGAAAGAGAAGTAAAAAAGTAACCTTTGAACCACTTCAATAGTTCATCAATTTATCGTTGGAATAACTAGAAACAATTTATATAAACTCAAACAAGGAATTTAGAAAGGAGAAAAGAAATTGCGGTGCCAGAAGGATAAATTAATTAATTATTAATATTAAAATTTATTAAAAATATCACTTGCCAGCATCATTGGTCCAGAAGTGATCGAAATTTAATTAACTCAGTTAATCTAAAATCACATGAAATTTGCAATCACATTTATAACAATGTATTTAAATATACAATACACGATACAGCACTATGCAAAATAACGATGTCGTAGATGGCCGGACAGTGGTTCATATTCTCAAAACATTTTCTGGCAGCCTCTTGGACTTTCGACACTTGGCTCAATCGATTCCCAACTCTCTTTTGCAACTTCATTTGCACGGATATCGGTTCGCTTGTCCGTTCGATAATTGACCTATTTGCTCGATTCTGGTGCGTGTACTTCGAACAATCGTGTTACTCCGAACAGCATTTTTTGTTGCTACTCTAAACACTCCCGTATAATGATAACATAATATCGCTCATTTATTATTCAAGTTAAGTGTCACATCTTCAAATTAAAATAAAACATCATGTGCGTCTCGTATTGTTATACAAGGGTGACGCACCTCGTGCGTCAATATTAGTAATGCAACAGCGACGCACCGCATGCGTCATATATCCAATACACTTTATATTAAAATAAAAAGAAACCAAATCTCAAATAAGGTGTTTTATTTAAAAATGAAGATGGGACATTGATTTTGAATAACCCTTTATATCGGTCCATTTCAATCATACTTTTTCTCTCGTTTCTTTTGATATTGTTTCACGTAAAAAAAATTTTTTTTTGCTTTCTAAGCTTGAGAAATATATCTGAAGAAATTGGTAAAAGATATCATACGAATCTCTTCAGTCACGATTTTTCTAAACAAATTGGAAAATGATGACAGAAAATTTATTTTTGATGATCGTCATTTTCCCTGGGGATGTCTACTGTGCTCGATGCTGCACAAGACAAACGTGTCTATTGATCCAGAAATAACTTGTATTTCGGTAAAACGTTTTCTCGCGTATCCTATGATTGCGATGCACGTGTTTACATCGAGGCTGGCGTTTTAATTCATCGCTAAAGAGAAACGGAAACAGCTCGAGCCCGCGTTTTCTCTCGTTGTGTGCGTCACTGATTATTATTAAAGATCGCGGTTAGACTAGAGCTGTGGGCAGAAATTAGTGTCATTTAGTGATGGTGGGATAATTGCGACGCGTTCAGCCGTTGCTGTTGCGTTCCTGACCTTTCGGGTATTCCTGGTCGCTTTCAGGTGCGCGATTTCCGGCCATCGATTTCCGTTAATCGGTGGAAAACAATGCAGTTAAAAAAATTCTCGAGAGAAAAAATAATTTTTTTGCAATATTCGAATATTTCATATCAAAGAAATTAATAGAGGGAATAATAAAAAATTTTGAACGCAATTGAAATTATACTAATTAAAAATTTTTAGTAAATTTCAAAATTGATCCACGTCTGTTTGTTACAAAGTGTATAACTAGACGCAGCGAGGTGTTTCAAGTGCTTTCTATTTGTTACTTAAAATACCCTTGTTGGCTCTCGTACGTTGAACCTTCAAATTTGATTAGCACCGAAGCAGCTGGCTTTGCTTTGAACCGTAGTCTGAAATGATGAAACGGCAATAATCCTTACACCGTGAAAGTAGGCCGTGTCTCGTATTTTGCATGAACGGGGGGATAGAAAAAAAATAGATTAGAATAATCGACCTTTTTCTATCGGTGATACTGAACAGTTCTTCGCTGTTGAATGCGCTAAACAAATTTCTGAAGTTACGTAACGTCCATCGACTGTTCGAAGGAATATTTTTAAACTCGAGCTATTGAAAGAATATTCGCAAAGGAGACTAGATTTTCTAGAATATTATACTTGTAAACCTCCTTTGGTAACCGTGGACTATTTTATATTAATAATAATGAACATTAAGGTATAATATATATTTTTTTTTATGTAAATTGAACCTTCTTAAGAACAGAAGAGGAACAGAAGTAAGAAATATAATATAATGTATTTCTTCACCCTTGGATGGCGGACCATGGAGAGAGGCCTAAAACAGTGGACCATGGAGACACAATTATATTTCTAATACATGGAACTCTTATTTAAAAATTATATATTCATTTTGTCACACTGGACCCACGCTCCGCTGTTCAAGGGTTAAATAATAAAATATAATCATCTTTTGTAACCCGAATAGAATCACATTATATTATATTTTCTACCTTCCTAGGAAAAGGGTCAATCATTATATAATTGCATACGTTACCCTAGCTTAAAAAACATAATTACTAATTAGTGACGGTCATACACAGGGTGTCCCATTTTAATCTATTCATACGAATGACTAATTTTTAAATTAGGATTACTAATACAACAAAAATAAATAAATTAAGGAATAAGATAATAAAAATTGTTAAATGAATTTTCATTAAAAAGAACATAGTTCACGATAGGACCTCCAAACTCATTATAACATCTCCCTCTGTTCAAAAGACAGTTATTCGTATAAATTGAAAGGGGACACCCGGTGCGTTCTCCAAAATGGCGTCTTCGCCCGAAACGGGAGGAAAGTTCTCTGGTTAATCGTTAATCCCAGGGGGACGGTTTCGATGAACGAAAAGTCGCGGTTCTTGGACGACATGGTTCGCGGCACCGATGGCCAATAGACCGGCCGTTTTCTATTCTAATTCCGATGCTATTCTAGTACACGAACGCCGGCCAATGGGCTACGTCCGCCAGTAAAGCGTTCTCTTCTCCTCGCCGTACCCCTCTGCACCCCGTTCCTCGTGTCAACCGCAGTCGTTCTCGAGGCATCGCGTGCACCAGATTACAGAGCCAGCCTCATCCTCCTTTTATTTGGCGCGTTTATCGGCCACCGTTAAGCCACGAAAGCGATAACAATCGAGGGAAAGAACGCGGCTGAACGCGTGTCCATTTTCGTAAACAGCGAGTGGGGAGAAGAGACACTAAGTAAACCGGGGGATCGTCTCCCTCGTCTAGACGGACCGCAGAGAAACGGGAAAGTAAAACGGAATAGTGTGCAGTTCGATAGTGTAACAGGGTGACTGAACGTTCGTTTCGATCGAGGGACATTGAAATAAAACGGTGGAGGACAAGGAGTGAGACTTTAGGAGGAGCCTTGCGAGGGAGAGATGCAGTGGCGTCGACAACGAAGGGTTACCCACGTGATCGGCTCGTCCAATCACGTACTACTATTAGCGAGGTACCAAGACGGTACGGAAAGCTTGTGGAAGAGACTGATCATGGTTCTTAGCGGACGGCTTCCGGTTCTTGGTTACACTCGGACACCTTAGAGAATTTCATCGTTTTTCGCTTTAGTGGTGCTTTGATCGTTTCATTAATCTTTGTGTAATTAGAGGGTACACGAGGGGGTTGATTAATTACTGTGCTGATCATCGAACTCAAATGCAATTTAATGGAATAATTTAAAAAATTGAAATTGGATGAAATTAGCTATTAGTATTTTTAATAATTAATATATCTATGTTATTTGTATAATAATTTATACGCGATGGAAGAAAGAGGGGTTCGGTAATTAATGAAAAATTATTTTTGGAAAAATACAGAGATTCATGAAGTGATCCAGAAAAAATAATAGAGTAGATAGTGCACATGCTTACAGCCATGACCAGTCACGTTTCTTTTCTAGAGAATGAATATTGTAGTGATAGGACGTGTTCTAGTGCATTTGTATAGACCAGAGGGAAGGATTAAGTAGTAAGAATTGCACGTTAATAAGCTGCAATGCGATCTAATTCGATGCGGTTCTAACTGGATTTACGCACGTTAGGAAACAATAGCAGCTTTCGTACGCATTAAGGCAATTAGTGGATGTATTTTAGGGAGTTAGAAACACCGTAGAGTGCTTTCACTGCTGCTGACGTATATGTTGCGTTCCATCAGTATTTATTAAATTAGAAATTTGCATTGTTAATAATAACAAAACGTTAGAGAAAAATTTATATAGAAGGAGGGGTGGTATTATGGCTCCTTTTTATATTAATTCATCTTAAAATCAGGCAAATTATTTTTCAGAAGAAATGTAACATTAAGGAGCCATATTACCACTTTTTCCCTTGTGAGGAAGGGTTAAAAGTGAAGACGCACCAGTTGTGTCAAAGAATTAAAGGTAAAGACGCACCAGTTGCGTCAAAGAGTTAAAGATAAAGACGCACCAGTTGCGTCAGTGGTATTATTAAAATAATCAAGGAGTCGCACCATATGCGTCAGTATCGAAGAAAGGGTTAACGCTTTGACGAATATTTATTTGTATAACAATTTGATTCAATAACATGCTTATTGCTTTATAGAATGATACACTTATTGAAGTTTGATCGCGTCTTTTTCTCGTCAAAGGGTTAATAACACTTAATAACAACTGATTAGAATGCACACGATGTTACCGTCGTATAGAATCAACATATCCAATGCATCAACTAACTCGATCAATTTATTCGATAAACCTTATTGATCAGTGTATATATTTTCACTAACTGCATGCTTTATCACTGTTTAACACAAGACTAACGTAATAATTCATTTTAGAAATTCGACTGGAAGTCCAGTTGTAATAAAAAAAATTTCAAACGAGATTTCTTTGAAATCTATGTGAATCATATCGTCGTACACGTATCAGAGTTCATGGCTTCTGATAGTGGTCACTCAAAGGGATTAGTTTATAGATAGTGCTTGGTGCACTCGGATAACAAAATTCCACTGTAATTCAACTCGGGTAGGTTTATGATCAAACGATGGTCTTTTGCTCGGGGAATCACGTAACTGGTAATAAACAGGATTTATATAACAAACAAATAAAACAAAAAAATGTAAATATAAATAATAATATTTGCAAGTGGTAAATTTTAAATTCCCATAAAAAATATTTAACAACATTAAAATTGTAAATCTTTTGTGGAGGAAAAACTCAAATAACATTGCAATATTAATGCAACATAAAAATATTAAAATTAATTAAAACCAAGGTAATAATCATCCATCTTTAAATTGCACCAAATCAACCCTTTCCAAACTGAAACTCAAACTTAATCCTTGTAGGACCATTTACTATAGAAGTTATGTTAATCAATATTATTTTTATTCATTTCATATAATATAAATTTTGAATATGGAATAAGGAGGGTTAACCACACCCTAAAAAATATTTAATAACATTGAAATTGTAAATCTTTTATGGAAGAAGAACTCAAATAATATTGCAATATTAATGCAACATAAAGATATTAAAATTAATTAAAATCAAGGTAATAATCATCTATCTCTAAATTGCACCAAATCAACCCTTTCCAAACTGAAACTCCAAACGTAATCCTTATAGGACCATAAAGGCTACACTTGTACCCCGTCCTTTTTACTATAGAAGTTATATTAATTAATATTATTTTTATTTATTTTGAATATGGAATAGGGGTGGATTAACAGCACCCTGAAAACAGCCCGGAAATCTCTAAGAATCTAATCAGTCTCACATCGATTCAACTTTGTTTGCAGCTCCACCCGGCGAGGAGGACGAAGAAGAAGGATTGCGAAACGGGTTCGCGAAGGGCCAGGAAAATGACACGAGCATGCACAGTTACAGTCGGAATGGACAGGGTGGTTACAAGCCTCGCAGGAGCGGAAACGGTGATGCCGGGACACGATCTCACAAGGACGAGTCGTCCGGTTCACCGTCTCAGCCGAAGATCATCTTCAACGAAGACGAGTACACGAGGATCACTACCCCTCGCCAGGATATGCTGTTCAAGAAGGGCTATCTGTCGAAGAAGAAACCCTGGGCTGGTAACGCAAACACCAGCGCAACGTCGTCGACCACCGAGAGCCAATCCGCGTCTCATTCCACCGCAGGTAGAGGTATAGGTAGAAACGTGATGAAAATTTCATCGAATTTCTGACTTTTTCTCGTCCGTATCGTCCGTCCGTGTGTGTCCTGGTTGATGACGTCGTATCCTGCCAGCTTGGAGTTCCTCTCAACATTGTATGTGTGAAAACGATACCGGTACTCTGTGCATTAGGTTGTTGACAGGATTCATTAGAAATAAGATCCTTGACCAGTGGCGACCCCATAAAAGGGATGATTGAAAAATTAAAAAATTTAGAAAATTATTTTTGCTAAGTTTCCTTTCTTTCCTAAACACTTTAATAGCTGTATATTTTATAAAATTAATAACTTTTCAAATTGCAGCTTGCACCTGATAAAGTAAATACAAATAAGGCAAAGGATAGTGATAGTAGCCATTAAAGTGTTGATGAAATAAATTTTATTGATTATTTAATCTAAGTTACAAATTTCAAATTGATATGAAATCTACTTTTAAAATCCTTTATCCCCTCGGCTTAACAATTATAAATTCCACCATAGTCGCATTAAAGTCGTACAGAGTATCATCTGGCAAGGTAATCAATCATCAAATTAGTCGACCTAAGTACGTAACAAAAGCAAGGGGGGGAGTTCCACTGTCACACACCTAATCACCGACACTCCTAAATCTAAACTTACGTGGCTTCGATGCGTTGTAAATGTCGCACTCGAGTTCCTCCTCGACGTAATTTAACACAATTTATCGTCTCAGATGGCAGCGAAACGACGGAGGATCAGCAGCTGTTGGACCGAGACTGCGGCACCGGCGAGTACCCACCGATGATCGAACCTGGGGCCCAGTTAGGCTACGGAACGTTTTACGATCATGCTAGCGGTTACTACTACGAGTACCCTGTGATGTTGGTTGGTCCCGCGCCAGTTCCTGCACAGGTTGCGCCCAGTGTCCTGGCGGCCGTACCCTGTGGACCCGTGCCACTCAGGCCGATAGAGTGGATCAATCCTACCTTTGTGCCTAAACTGGCCGGGCAACCTTACTACATGATGGATTATGAGGTACTGTCAAATTAAACAAGTCTCTTAAAAATTCTAAGTTCAAATAGAATTAAAATTAATTTGTATATTTAAATTTCAGACCAACCAATGCGTGGAGACAGCAGTGGTATCAGAGGAGCAAGAGAATATTGTGCTACCAGTGGAGACCTCGAATGGAACTTGCAACGAGAGTTGCACAGGAAGTACCAGTTGCAACGGTAGCGTAGCTGGCGAGGTTGAAGAGCAAGGAACTGAAGGTAACCCGGTGGAGGATGAACAGCAAGGCGATGAACAGAACGAGGAACAGGTAGAAGAGCAATACTTGAACGAGCAACACGTGGAAGAACAGCAGTTGGAAAATGGGATGAACGGTGTTCCTTACATGGAGCCAGTATTGATGCAACAACCAGTCCACGTGTCCCACGTGATACCGGCGGTCCCTCAACCGTACATGTATCCTGGCCACTACATGTTCGGCCCTCCTTTGGTCAACGTGAATGGTTAGTTGATTAAAGAACCAGGAGGCTAACGATCTCCCTTTATCTTTGCCCATTGGCAGTGGACTCTTGAAAGTTACCTTTGCTCCCTTGCTATCTCGCATGATTTTAGAAAGAGACTTATCTCTCGTAGCTTTCGTTCTGTTCACGGACAGATGGACGGAACAACGGGCGAACACAAGCGAAGGTTGTTTTCTTTGGCTAAGAGAACCTGCGCACTTCGGGGAGGGAACGGTGCATCGTCAACGTTGATTAATTCCTCGCTTCGTAGGCGATAATGGGTCGTTTAAAATGTTATGGAATGTTTACTTCCTGATAGATCTGTCTCGCGTGACTTTAGCGAGATTCTTGAGGAAATATTTTAGTTAATATTAGGAGATTATTGGTAATTATTTATCACCAATTAGGGGTAGTGAAAGCAATTATATTTTTGATGAAAATAGACTTTAAATTTAAATATCAAAGACTGCAATTTATTATAAAATATTATGAATATTTTTGAGGACAAGTTTTTAGAATTAAATCCTGTGGTAATGAAAGCTTTCTCTAATCTTTCTTTATTTTAAAAGAAATTGATTCATCTTTATTCAATTGTAAGTTGAAAAGTACCCAAATGAAAAGAGAGAAAAAAGAAATAAAAAGCAACGAACGATGCATCGTATAGCTGTATTCGAACGCCCCTTCCCCGCGCTGCGTCAGTTTAAGCGTTAGTACGTTTGATTGTACCTGTTTCTAATGTTAAAACGAGAACAGTGTCGGTTGGATGCGCGGCCAGGAGAAAGGGATATAGCCAGATTCATGACTGCTGTCCCGTCCATCGGCATCATTGCTGTTTTATTACCGCCGTGCCTCTACCACATTCAAGGTAAAAGGTAATAATTCGCAAAGAGAGCTGCTTCTCTTTAGATACGATCGCGGAGAAACCGGGGGGTAATTGATGTGTCGTCTTCAGGCTAACTGATGATTAATTATTTTTGCCAAGGATTTACTAGAATAGGAAGATACTGCGAACAGATACGATAAACATAAGCAAAAAAATAATGATGCCCAAAGGAAGGAAGGAATATAAAACGTATTCCTATTATTATTCTTTTATTATTCTATTATAACATGAGAAAAAGAAAAAGATATTCCAAATGCTATTAATATTTTATTAAAGACATAAAATTCGAAATTGAAAAATTAGATAATACTGTAAGTTCCTTGAAGACAATATTTATAAAATTAATATCTAGTGAAGTAGAAAAATTTCTAATTTTGTACTTGGCTGCAAATTGAAAATTTAAATAATACTGTGACTTCCTCAAAGATAATTATTTATAAAATTAATTTCTAATGAAGTAGAGGGATTTCTAATTGTGTACTTGGTTGCAAATTGAAAACATAGGTAATGCTATAACTTCCTTAAAGACAATATTTATAAAATTAATATTTAGTGAAGTGGAGAAATTTCTAATTTTGTACTTGGCTGCAAATTGAAAATTTAGATAATACTGTGACTTTCTCGAAGCTAATATTTATAAAATTAATTTCTAATTATGTACTTAGTTGCAAATTGAAAGCATAGATAATACTATACCTTCCTTAAAGAAAACATTTATAAAATTAATATTTAATGAAACATAGAAGCTTCTAATTGTGTACTTATCGTACCATACAATGTTATAACCGTTTCCACTGCGCCAGTGAACACGTTTGAATAGCAAAAATTATCCAAACATATCCCTGAGGACATCAATCATTGCCCAAGAAACGTTTCGCCACTCAAAGCCATACTACAACAATAAAAATAGAACGGGGAAAGCTCCGTTGTGCTCATCTTGGACAGCATTGCTTTGCTTTGCGTCACCGTACACGAAAATAGTTGACTTGTTCCACTGCGTGTTCCCAGGGTGATCCGACGATCGTACCTAAAGTCAACAACACTCTACCCCACGCTCGATCTATGTATGTGTGTTACTTTTAATTGCATACATCGTATAATTATCGAACGAAACCATTGTTCACCGTAATTCCTCATCGAACCACGGCACGTTGCACAGGGAAATAGAAAAAAAGATAAAAGGCGTTTATCATCACCGGCTGGTTCATTGACTCATGAACGTTCACCAGGATACCGCACTCGCGGTACCATCATCGACATTTAAACCTTTCGACGGATTACACGTTGTCAGCCGCGCGAGGGGCGTCGAAAGTGGCTCTGGCAAAGCTCTGTCTCGAATAGAAGCCGATTTTAAAATAGCTCCGTTGCGCGGAGCTCGATCACGGTACGGGAAAATAAAAGAAAGAGCCAAGTTCAGTATTCGCACCCTTCGACGCGCGTCCAGGACGTCTTCGTGTTCGCACCGACCTGGTCGAATACCCTGGGCATACGTGTTTCTCGTGTCGACACCTTAGATTTATGATTATTCATTTTTAAAACCGATCGATTAATACTTGACGTTTCTGCTGTCTAAGGTGTCACGATACAAGGTGGACCCATGATCAGAACCACGGACGTGGCGACTATGTCGGCGGCCTGTGCCAAGAGAAGAAAGAAAAAAAAGAGAAGGAAGCAGAGAAGACTTGCTACGGTAAATACCAGAATGAATGGATGAATGGATGATGATTTCGGGGGTGACATAAAGAAAAGTACCTCAAATAAAATTTATAAAATTAACGTTAAAGCTTGAATAACTAATTTAGATTTGCATTTGCATCAATTGATATTCAAATAAACTCCTCTTATGGGGGCCCTGGACCCTGGGGGGCCCTAGGCGGCCGCCTAGTCTGCCTAGCGCCAAGGCCGGCCGTGATTAACACGTCTGAATTTTTAAATTCTCCTATTAATTTAAAAAATTTAAGGTTAAATTTCTAAATTAAATTACTTATTCAGGGTAACACGGAGGGCAACACGGACGAGGAAGAAGGAGAATACAGCTCCGAATGTGATACCGGTCTACCGTCTTCCCGGCTGTCCTGGACAGCGTGTTCATCGATCAACAGCAATCGGCCATTGAACCCTGAATGCCAGGAGTTCAAGCTGCGACAAGTCGTCGAACCTGATACCTCGTTATCAACTATTCCAACGTCCGCGAACGCGCCGGCCAGCGAGGAGTGTTCGGCCAACCAGTCGGGCACGTTGTCGTCCGACGCGACCAACGCCGGCAATGAGAGCGACCAGGTGTGCAACGGCGTCGTCCGCGACGAGTCGAATAACCGGAAGGACGACAAGTTGATCGCGAACAATTCCGACGACGTTGGATCGTCGTCCTCGTCGTCGTTCTCGTTAGAGAAGAGTCAATCGACGTCGCCGGACGCGACAAACTCGAGCGACGAAGCGAATAGACTGACGAACAGTCTCTTCGAGCAGGAAGAGACGAATCGTTCAACGAACAAGGTGGTCCTAGAGGACACCTTGGAGGTGGAGAAACTGCCAAACGCTAACGATAACGAAGCAGCGAACGACGCGTCGTTAGGAACGACGATTAAGGAGATGAACGGTGTCGAGGAGAGGAGCCTGGTGAACGGGAAGATGGACTCCGATTCGAACAACGAAGACGCTACGATAGCGACACCGAAACCATCCTCGCCTTGTAACGACGAACGGACGCGGTCTAGATCCATAACGCCAAAGACTGCTCCCTTGGAGAACGGAGGAATCCGCGAGGAGAATCATTCGTCCTTGTCCAGCAGTAAACCTTCGTCGAACAGTTTGCCGAAGAGGAAGTACAACGCGAAAGGTGCGAAGTTCGTGAGGGAACCAACGCCTGGTCCAGACTTGGACGGCACCGCGGAGCCGGAAATCGAGACCAAGGTCTTAACGAACGATTTGAACGATTTAAACGAGAATTTGGAGAAAGCGAATCTGTCGAATGACTCGAAACCGGATTCCATGTTCGAGCATCGCAGCAACAAGACAGAAGGTGATCAGGTGTCGAGTAAGTTTGCATCGGAGAACGTTTGTAATCATTTGAGCAAAGACGATCCGATCGAGGCGTCGAACGAAGACTCCGGCTTCGAGAGTCAGACACGGTTGTCCGATTATCCCATCACGGACGCTGTTACGGAGTGGCTTCGCAGAGCGAACTCGCCAGATATCTTCATCACGTCTAACGTCTCGGTGGACACCGAGACGGAGGACGAGGATGACGTGGACGAAGAGCCGCCAAAAAACTTGCAAGGCAACCCCATGCCTGCACTATCTGCTAATAGCGGCGTCGCGGACAATGCGTCATTGTCGCGGGCCGCTAGCAGCGAATTCGCAAGGATCAGCAACGTAAAGGTCCAGGAACAGCTGGACGCAGCCAACGGTGGTGGTTCAAGGAAAAAGAGAGAGGCGAAGAAGAGATCCGGGGAACGAAGGCGGGTAAGACACACGGATGGCACACGTTTGGACCACGAGGTGGTGTCATCGTCGGATTCGTGCGGCCAGATGGAGGACCCGGTGAACAGCAGAAGGAAGAATCCGTCGAGGCAGCTGGAGACTGTTGGTGATGTTTGCGAATTAACTGAGAAGGATAGCGTTGCGGGTATGAGGGTTGCTTCAAATTCTCGGATGGACTCGAAGAGGGTCAACGTAAGGCGAACGAAAAGACAGGGGAGATCCGGTCGGGATCCCACGAGCATTATTGATACGAAGATCCGTCGCACGAAGGACGCGGACGAGAAGAACGACGTCGATTACGACGACGACGACGACGAGGGTATCGTCGAGGACACGATGAACGTAAGGACCTTCGAGAAGGGTGAGATCGTCGTCTCGGAGGAGGGGAAGTTGTTGACGACCTCCGCTCACGAGCCGGTATTGCGAAACAATAACGACGCTTCCACGACGATCAAAGCGATCGGGACGAGCGAAACGGCGAAAGATACGGTTAAACGAAAGACGGTGGATAGAAAGAGGAGAAGCAGCGGCGAGGAGGAGAATTGTAGCGGGAGAAATTCCTTGGACAGCATAGAGGAGCCTGACGTGTTAGAATGCTGGGAAGCGGAGACGATTGAACCTGTGATAACCCCGAAGAGGATGTTGCAATGCGAGGGGGTAATGTGCGAGGGCGAAGCTGCTGAAGACGATATCATCGAAGTTGAACAGGTCAACATCGATTACGTTCAGAAATATTATAGATTAGCTCGGGAGAGTGCTACTAGCGTAGAGGATGATACGAATGGCTCTAAGATGAACGTAGATTTCTCAGCATCATCGAAATCAGTGCCAAATCAGTCCGAGCAAATTGATGATATCCCGACGCGCAACGGTGACCTCGTCGGCGACAAGAACGTCCCCATAGACGAGGCTTTTGAGGTATACGAAAGCTGTTACACCGGCAAACCTCCGTTCCTGCCAATCGATTCGAAAGTTTTCAAGTCACGAACGTTCTACGGTCAAGAGGGCGAACATCCGATACCGTGCAGAGCTGTTTGTTGTAACATCCAATGATTCGCGACTGTTATCGAGAGACTTGCTACGAGTACTTCTCCACAGGGACTGTTTCTGAATAACTCCGGCTGTACCGATGTCATAGGCCGTCCTTTTCTAAATATCCCTAAGCCTCTGACGTTGTACTATTACTTTGATGGATGATTCGATCGCATAACGATGGACCGTACATTTAATCACCGTTAACCATTCATTATCGTCACGTTAATTACATTGAATGAAACTAGAGAAAAAAGAACCCTGTGGATGATCGTTGTATGGATGCAAAGATGTTGAAACTTGGGGGTATGCTCAAAGGGCAGCGGATAATATAGCAAAAGCCTACGTATTGCTATTCATTTTTGTAAATAGCTTTAAGAGGTCGCTCGCAAATCGTGTTTCATGGAAACTTCGTTGAAAATTAACATATGCATTGAAGCATATATATATATATATATACAAATATTTTTGACATTATCGTCAATGTTACTTGGTGCACATATTCTTTCATTTAATTTTCTTCTTTCATTCGATCATTTTTGTTCTCCTAAATTGTACCGCATGAAAGTTTCGTTACGTTGGATCGTTTAAAATGAATCGTGCTTAGGATGTTTCATTCGATATTGTTGCGAATACAACAAAATGGATCTTAAAGTCTGAACTCTGCGAAACCAGAGTAAAAGAGAAACCAACCAAAATCTCACACCAAATGTCGTTTCAGTTGTTCTCGCACTAATGTTTTTTATATAAGTACCGAACACGAATTACATTAACATCATGTTGACTAAGGCATATTTTTTACAAAACTTATCTAGAGGGTAAATTTTAAACTACGAAAAGATTAAAAAGAAAAAAAAGAAAGATTAATAAAAACACTAGCGTCGTTCATCACGTACCACGTTAGATGGCCTTTCGTTTAGGGAAATTTTCTCGTGTGCAAGTTTAAACATAAAAACGCTGCAAACCGTAATGTGCACTCTCGTCGTTTGAAAATTTCTAAATGGGAAGGGATAACGAGATCCAGTAACCGAGCTACATTTTAGAAAAAATAATATGCGACAGTCGTAAATGATAATACGTTTGGCTAAGGTGCAGAGAGTAGTTGATGATATGAAATGGATTGGTAACAAAGTGAACTATATAACTTGTACTGTAGCTGTTATGAAGCTAACATAAGATGTATATAGATGAAACTTACAGGAGACAAGCAAAGAAGTTGCTATGGGATTTTTTTGTTAAAACGTTTAAAAGAGGAGCATTTTTGTTTTGTAATAGATGTTTGAATTTGAAACTAGGAGAACACATTTCACTCATACACATTATTGTACAACATATTGAAGTTGCACTTGTTACAACATAGTTCACGCTTTAGTTGAGTTGTGTCAAGTAGGTCGAATACCTCAGGTTGCATATTATGTAAGTTGATTGATAGATGTGGTTCGTGAAAAAAAAAAATCATACATACATATATATGTATATGTACCCCATATCATAAGATGCGAAACATACCTCAAATGATACCTGTATATATAAAAACTACCAATCATCCAGGCATAGTAACATCAAGTATGATAATGATAATATTAATATTAATGATAATAATAATGTTAATAATAATTAAAAAAAAAAAAAAAAAACTATTATCACAACAGCGATATAGGCACAATCGTTCCTGCAAAGCTTTAGATTCCCTAGGCACCATTTGACATAACACAATATCCAGGACGATCCATATACTTATAGAAATTCATTGACATCCAGTTACATTAAAGATAAATATATTGCTATATTAAATACGTGTTGCATCAATTGTGTGCCTTATTCTGCGGCTGACATTTTTGTAACCATTTCAAAGCATTCTTCTCAAAAGAAAAAAACAAAATGAAACAAAGGAAACAAAAAGGCTATCGGGTGATTTGCGAACAATTGACATTTGTTAAATTGACAAGATGACGACGACAAAATGGGAGCGATTGAGTTTTATAAAAATGATGGTCTTGTCAGGGCATGCATACCAAGACGAAATACATTGATTTTTTTTTTTTTCATACGTCAACTAACATGTTCATTAGGTGTTTACAACTGATGTGCATACATTCATACGCATATAAGCATTAACATTGCATCTTACACGAGTCATGTTATCATATAATTATATTTTAGTTGAATTAAATTAAACGTGTAAGGAATAAGTGTACTTGAATTTTGTTGTGTTTTTGCTTAAAAAATATGAATAAAATGTTTCAATTAATTCGCCATATTTACAATTTACCACCATAAATATAATTTTTAATAATAACTTTGGCATTACAATTATAAATCATTGGGTTAATTATAATATTAGGAAAAGATGACAATTTAAGTCCACTGCATTCATGAATCCTTTAAAAAATAAAACAAATATAAATTACAATTAATTATTTTCTAAATAGGAAGTCAATTAAATTTACAATTTCAAAATTCATGCTTCAAAATGCGCAAGCGCGCGTTGTGCGTCAACCGCCCAAAGTCTATCGACGGAAGCGCCACCAAGTTCAATTCGATAGGTCGAACACAAGATGGACGTCGATACGATACGATATAAAGCGAGATACAACTGAGCGTACGGTGGTGCTACCGAACGGCCGAAAATGGAAGCATAACCAGTTGGTTGGACGAAGATGAAACGATAGGAACCGCTAAAAAGAATGAAGGTGAGAGAAAGAGGAGGAGAAGGGGGTTAGCGTTGTAATGAGAAAGAAGAACAGAGCTGGATCGTATCGTGACTATGAGACAGTCTTATATAGATGGACACGCGCAGGTCACACGACGAAAGGTCAGGAGTGTGTGCGTTCGCATAGAGTAAGTGTAGCGGTATCTCACTCTTTCGTATCGCGACGGGATCGGAGGTGGTGCGAGAGTGAAAGACGAAGAAGCGAGCGAGCGAGCGAGGGCGAGCGCGAGTCGGGCCAGCGAGCGTGGAACGGTGTAGAGCGAGCGAGCGTGTGGTGGTGGTGGTGACGACTGGTGCCGTGGACGGACGGTCGGTCGGCGGTCGGACCGTGGTGTGTGAAGAAGTGAAAAATTCGCAAGTGGTGTGCTGGGTTGGTGAGCTGGCTGGTTAGTGGTGATATATCGGGGTCGCGCCACGGACAGTGTCGGGGATTTTTGGTGATCGGGGCCTGTTGCCGAGACGTCGAGGGACGACGCGTGGAACCGAAGAAAGAGACCGCGTTAAGAGCAATGTCTGACCGGGAAAGCCTGGACGACCAACCGCAAAGTAAGAATCAGAAGATTCAATGAATCCTGCCTGTACGAGTGTTCGACGTGTTTCGTTATTGGATAGGATCTTTGATACGTGTTGAAAATGTGCCCGACCCGACATCTTTCCGTGTCCGTGGCACCGTGTGCTGCGCCTCCGATTACCAGGACCGTCTTTTTCGTGAGCAAACGCAACGACCTCCGTTCGCGGTTGATCCGCGCCGTTACTCCGCGCACGGTCTGTGAGTACCGCGGGCTCGCACACGTCCGATCGTTCCTTTGGGCCCTCGTGGCGTTCTGTCAACCGCCGAAAAGAATTGCTATTTTTCAACGATACCCAGGATCCAAGATGGCCGGCCGCGTATCGGCCGAGAGACAAACCCTGTCCTCTTTCTTCCTTCGACTTAATCGCTCTTTCTCTCTCACTCCCGTTGGATCCCTCTTTCTCTCTCACACCTTTTTCTCTCTGTCTTTCTTCCCCTTTTGGCTCCCTCTTTACCGCGCACCCCGTACTCCATTCTTTCTCTCTTTTTCGACTTCCTTCCCTATTACTCTCCTTCTTTATTTCGTGCTTTTAATTTTTCCCCCCCTTTTTTCTGTCCTTTTTCCTCTCTTCCTTCTCTCGTTCTTCCACGTCCTCAGCCCTCGCGGAGCTGAATATTGGTAACCTCTCGATACTCTATGCATCCCCGAATGCCGGTTCCCTCCCAGCTGTTCCCTTTGAAAGTCCCGCTCCCTAAGAACCGTGCTGGTCTGTTGTCAGTTCCGTGTGACAGGCACCCTGACCGCGCTCGACCAGACAACCGGAATAGTCCCGGGTGAACACGCGTGATGTAACTTGCCTATCCACCTATCTGGCACACACGCATGCGACCCAACGACACACAAAGGCACACGAACGCGTTCGACAGGACACGCGCACACGCAAAACGAAGGAACCACGTCTGGCCACGATTCGCGTAAATTTCACACGTGCCATAGGCGATCCCCACCCCAGAAACTGCTGGCTCTTGGCCTCGAAACGAAACGGCCACGACGTGTATCTACTAGCGATGGGAGTAATTGCATTATCGTTTTAAAAAAGAATATACGCTCGATCGATGGGAATCTCGATAATCACATACCGATATCAAGCGAGAATTCGCGTCACCGTACAATTCTCATACGTATTGCAACCGTTGATGCCTGAACAAACATTGATTGCAGAATACAAATATTCTTACTTAGTGAAAACAGAGGATCAATCAATATTTGGAAATGTATTTGGTACAAGTGTGTTCATATACGGTAGCAGCAATCGAAGATACACTCGCGGTTTCAGTTGAAACGAACACGGTATATAAATTCAATCGATGTAATGTACTTGATAACGTGAGAAAATTATGTAATACTTTTTTCATGGACACATGTGAAACCGACGGTAGAGAAGTTTGTCAATAATTCAGCGGTGACTTATAAGATTAAATAAGTATAAAAAATCGACTTGTATCGCTATATATCGTTTAGAAATTAATTAACGAATATATATTACAAGGAAATCATCGATGCTATTTGGTAACGGTATCCCATCATTAGGATTTGGAAATCCATGAATAACACGCGTTTCTTCGAGGTCAGCCTCATTAGCATAATCTACAACTGCTTTTATTTTTCTCATTCTCAATTCAAAAAGTCGCAGCAACAACGTTTAGTTGTATTATTTTGTAATTAGGTTAAGTTTCATAACAATGGTTTTATGAATTATGATTGGAAGTTGTATAGGAATTTCAGTGCAGAATTTAGTAGTTAGGTTACCACGATGTAAACGCTATCTAGTGTGCGTTTTACGATTCTTAGAGCGGGAAAATATTTTTAATACCTGTGGTTGATAACTGGCACGAAACGTCGCCCTTGGTATTCGGTTTATTTCATTCTTATCCAAATACTTGATTGCTAACAGTCATTTTTTATTTTCAGGATATGGAAATCCAGGCGGTATGGACGCTGGAGGAACCGATTTCGATCCTAGTAAGTAAAGCAAATAAAAAGAAAGAATTGATACTCTTTCTGTTCCTTGTTTCTATAACAATCCCGGTAACATTGGTGCTTTATATTTAGTTTATGTTTATGTAATTTTGGCACCGGCCCAATAATATTCCGCAAAAATTATGTAAAAAGATTGCTCGATTTCACTGAACAATATTGACCTCGGTTTTATCGAGCGATACCAGAAGACCAGGGTGATAAATCGCAACGTGGGCTTGAACATTCAGATAAATCAATCTACACCGTGTTTTATTTTAATATTCGCATAAAAATTGTCGCCTTGCTAAATTTCTACGATATGCCAGGAATATGAACGAAATTAAGAAATTTAATAATGTTTAATTATGTGTTAAAGCATGGTGAAACAACGCCGCTTGTGCGCTTCAAATTATAGATCTCTTTGCAGAATCTCGTTCCCATAGCGTCTATGTATATTCTCGACTCGAATTCTTCACGAAAAATTGTCACCTTCAACATGGAAACTGTTTTTCGAGATCTATTCTTGAAGCGTTGGTAATAGGACGCGTCCTATCCCGTCAATTTCGTTGGGTTCGAAATGGATTCATGGAAAAATGGAAGTCGGGAAAAGGAGTACAAGTAGCAGCAAGACGAGGAAGAGGAGTAGGGAACCGTACTAGCGCAGTCAGCTGGTCGTGACGTCATCCGATCATGTCGTGGTGCTGGGTCGTGTGGTGGGAGGTGCGACGGTGTCACGTGGTCGGGCTGTGAAGTCACGTGGCGCGTGTGGTTCGCGAACGCAGAAGCCGGTGCTAAACGGCCGCTGATTGGTCGAGACGATTTCACCACCATGATGTGCGCATTCCATCGGCATGACGGCGGGCTCCATGAATGACCGGCACGTCATTCGTGTACAATTTCGCGTTCGACGGCGCACCGTCGTTGTTCGGTATCGTTGTTGGCGTCCAGTTTTCACATTCGACGAATAATGTTCTGTGAGAACGCGCGTTGTGCTGTGCGGCATCGAGTGCGAGCAATCGCGACGACAATGCACCCGACCAATCGGCGAAACGCGATGTGTCATCGCGATATGACTGCACTGTTATACTGACGGTTTCTTTTTTCTTTCTTTTTTTTGCACCGCGCTCTCGGTTGTGACACCGTGTCGTTGTACCGATTTTTCGCCGTGTTCTCGTTCCGCCTTCTCTGTGTGTGAAAGTTTCGAATGGGCTGGCACCGTGATATTTCGTTCGCCGTACCTTTCGACGCCGTTTGGAAATCCTGCTTTAATCTTTTAGCGGTAAAGCCAGCTTGAAGTCCGTTGCACCGTGAAGATAGCGCGAGTCGGTGATCGGTCGGGCGACTAACGAGTCACTCGTGCGATCAATCGGGTTCACGCATGAAATCTGTTGCTAATTTTTCTTTCCTCCTCGCGACAGTGCCTTATTTTATCGTCGAACGTGGATTACTCTCCGAGTGAAACAGCTGTTAGAAAATTGTGATGTTTTACCTTTCTATCGCTAAAAGTGAACGATACGGAGATTTAAACTGTGTTTGATGGGCACTGTTTCTAAAAGTATATCGAACCTGTCATTCGATCAGTGTTTTCATGAGAACTGCGTTCAGTGATGTTGGACAGGTTTTGGGTGGATTTACAAACGAACCCGAACGAGGATCTCGCCTTATGAACGATTTTTATGACACAAGGATATTATAGATTACAAGTGTTTGAAATAATTCAGAAAATGGGAGAAATCGTAGAAATTTCGCAAGGTGACGTTCAGGAAAACACGGTGAACGGCTGGGGTGACACTATGGGCAAAATACAGTACTGGTGTCCTGAAGGTAGCTGTTACTCAATATTCGTGGTAGTTAAAGGCTTGATAACATACCGTTCCTCAGAAATACGATACGATATTGATAACCTGCTATCGCTAATTTTATTTATTCAATTTTTCATGCTAACGTACAATAAACGTATGAATTATAATTTTAAACTTACATAAAAATGACGTATCACCAGTTAAATACCAATTCACGTTGACATTATCACTCTTTTCTAAAAAGAATCATTCTAAACGTCACAAACTCTAGTCCTAATTTCATCATAACGAAATCTAAAAACATCCCTAGGAATTTTGCATGAACGGTCTAGGTTAGGTCGCGTGATGCAAGGCCTGGAAATAAGCCGTCGTTTCGTTGGCATTTTGCGGAACGGGAGGAAAAAAAGAAAAGTTTCTAGGATTTGGAACACAAGTAGTTACGGTACTGAAATACTTGGTCGATGATTCAGTAACGGCGGTAAATGTTAAGAACTGGGGATTAAAAATAGCGGATCTGGATGAAATGATAAAAAAAAAAATAACTAACTCTTCGCTGTAGTCTCGCGGAAATTGAATTGTTCACGAGACGCCGAGCGACACTGATAAAAAATGAAACAAGCTTTAGATACAAGCATCAAGTAATTAGAAAATAATGTATGCAACCTCACGAATCTCGGTCTCGTTCTTTATCGGCCAGCATGTCTCTCACGGAGATAATTTACCGACCGTGAGAAACAGACGAACGCGGAATTCGCAGAAATCCATTGGCGCTTTCGTCACTTGTTCTAACGAAACCAAAGTTTGGAAATGGAGATTCACTAAATAGTTGCATCCTTTCTTAAATTCTTAATTTAAATAAAGAAAGATGGGATGGAAATGAAGACTCGATCTAACCTCATTATTCAGTTCGCCTAGTGATTTATTGAATTCTGCACCTAATTAACGTTTTCTACGTCAATGAGTTTGCTTCTCGATCCTGCTCGTATGTTATTACGTTTTAGATTGTTAGACTTTGAACAGTTAGAATGGTCGAGCGAACCGATAAGCATGCAGTCGAGTAATGCCAAGGACTCGAGACGGTTTTCTAGTTACACGTGCTTTTTTAAATAGAGAATTTAACGTATGACAGCGATTGGTGTCTAGTTAGTTGGAAATGTGACACATATGGTGTCATTCGTTCATGATTTTGATACTGAAGTATCATTTTTATTTATTGAATAAGTGTCGCGGATCTGCGACGAGTTAATTAAAATTCTAGGTTTTAATTCGAATGGTATTGACGAGCGGTTGTAATTAAAAGTAACTAGGTCGAATCTTAAGCCCGCCAATTAGCATATTCGTAAAATATTACTAGTTTCCGCCTTGTTGGTTTGGTTCATTTTTAAATGTCCACAAATTTGGTTAGATTTAAATTATTATTGAATTAAATAAAACAAAAATTTTCAAGAAATTATTGCTGTTCTGGGTAGATGTTTGGTGTTACTGATAGCGCAAGATCAACGGTTTTAGTTACATACTGAGTCAGCGGGGGAAAAAAAATTCTTTTGAATGTGACTTTCCTCATCAGTGACGAAGCTGATTAATCATTCTTCCGCTTTAATGTCGATAACCATTTTTCATAAATATTAATTTCAACCGAGATATTTAAGAAACCAGTCTTTTGTCATTTAATAGTAGCATTTGTTTCATCATCGATTGATAAAAGTAATTTCTTAAATTTATTATTTTTTTTTTTTTTTCAAAATTAATTTACGACGTCTATTCGAATGAAATTTTATTGTTTTATGACAGGAAATAGCAATGAAAGGTGACCTCTTGATCTGGTAACCTCGAATAAATTTATAATATCGTATCAACTGAAATTTCATTTGACACATACTTTTTCAATATTCTTCTTCATTCGACCGTGTTAAACGATGCGCTTAGATAAGCATATCTTTCAAGGGTGAAACAAAACGACGGAGAGTTAAACTAAATAATCAGAAATTTAATTTGCGGCCTTTTTTACAACTTCGCGTGCAAATAATTTTCAATTACCTAACGATCCCATTGGAGAAACAAATTATAATAATTATGCGAATTTCTTTAACAGCTACAAATTGTGCAACAGAAAACGCGAATAAATTACTTTTATCGGGAACGTTTTACACATGTTCGAGCAGGAAGTTAAGTAGACCGCGAACGCGGACAGAAATGCATTTAGTAGGTAGGATTCGGAATCGGCGGTGCATCGTTGAAGAACCTTTACCTCGTTTCTAACGGTACAAAAATTCAACGAGCTCGTGTTCATCATGAATCATGCATGCCCGCGATGTATTCATAGCCCGCACAGTCTATCTTCGACAATCGCTGATGCGTGTCGGCTAAGATAAGTTTGAAGAGTGTAGACAGATGAAAAGATGCGATGCAGTAATAACACACTCCAGTTCATCCTTCTCCAAGAACATCAAATTACAAATTTTCTAATAATTATTCAAACTTTCAAGTGATGGAAGCTTGTGAAAGATTTCATTAGAATTAAATTAGAAGCGGGGCTCTCTCCGTGGTCCGTCGTATTGAGGCTCTCTCCATGGTCCGCCGTCTTAAGGCTCTCTCCATGGTCCGTCGTCTTGGGAAGAATAATTTTTAAAGGGACAGTGTATAATTTAAAAAATGAAAAGAACATGAAGAGGAGAGTTAAATTAGAATTGTGGCTTTCTCCATGGTCCGCCACGCGGTCTTGGGGCTCTCTCCATGGTCCGCCGTTCAGGGATTCTATATTTTATAGATAAAGGATTAAAAACTGTATACATTACCCTATACCCTTTTATATTAAGCCCCCAAGGAAAATTTTCAGTTCTCCAAGAAACCGCCCAATGTTCCAAAATCGCAGCAACATTGAAATTGAAATGGCCGACCGATTGAATAGCCCCTTTAATTTCACAAGGAACCAAAATACGCTCCTCTGTTTCAAACCTCTAAGGGAGATTTCCATAGAAATCTCATCCACAGCTTCCGGAATCGTGACGGTATTGAAATGAAATTATTGGATCCGTTTAAAGGCCGTTTTAAATTTACAAGAGACAAAAATACGCGACTCTATTCCGAGCCGCCGTGAAAGACTTCCAACGTTCATGGAAACGGCCGTGAGGCTGGAACTAAAGCGGTCGACGCCGAATTTGGGTAACCGATTCATCGGGAAGACGAGGAGAAGATCGAGAGGGATCATGTACACTAGTGGAATTAATTCTGGACACTTAAATTTTTACTTAAATTTCGCATTTATCCAAATTATTTAATAATCATTGTTTTCTAATTTTAAGGCGTTGCTTATATAAAAAAATCAGTAAAAAGACCATTTACAGCCATACTTTTAACATACAATAAAAATTACAATTTCAGCACATCAAAGGAGGTAGAAAAAAATTAATATTTCGTTGGATATCCTTTCATCCTGTGATTGGCTATTTCACATCATGCGACGTTTCGTGTTGCCAGGCGCAAGAACAAAAATAACAACACAGTTTAGATTTTTTTAAATTAAAATTTTAAAACATTTACGTACCAAATCATGTGACAATATTAAATATAAACATCATAGATTACAATAAAAATATTACGGTATCAATTTAGCATAGCAGAATATACATTTTCTGTCCAAATATGAAATAAAGAATATTTTTATTCAAAGTGTCCAGAATTATAATTCCACCAGCAGTACGCGTGGGGAGGGCTGGGGTTGACGAGTCGACGCGCAGAGGCGTCGAAGGCAGAGCATCCGTGGTCGGGGCGGCCGTTCATGGAAACGAGGATCCGGCGGTGGGGAGAACGGAAATATGCAGTTCGTATTGAGGCAGGTCGTTGCAGCGCCACGAGTCGCGCTCCAGGCGCAGAGATCAATGCGCCCACCCCCATCGTGTCCCGTCTTCGACGTCCGCGTTGAGTCCTCGTAAACCCGCGAGGAACAGGACCGCGGCGACAGCCCACCAGCTGGGCCACCTAGTCTCGAAAATACGCGAGGAAAATGGAAGAATATCCCACTTACCTGAGAAGGAAACACGTGGAAAGGGTGTCGTTGATCAGAACGGATCTATCCTTATTGTGAAAACTTACTATGGGAACTTGGAGATTCGTCAAAGATGATACCGAAGGTGAATTCCGCACGGCTATCGTGAAGTAGTGACAAACGGACCAAGTAACCGAAGCACCGAGGCTAAGGACTGAGGTGCTTTTCGAAGAGAACGTAACATGGAGTAGAAAATTTGAAAGGTTTCTTATTAAATGATCCATTTCGAGGAAGGGCCAAGGATGTTAACCAAGAACCGTCCTCCCTGGCAGCCCGCAGCAGCCTCGTTCCTGCCGGACACCCAGGGCTGCAGCGGCCATCGATGAACAGTCGGAGCTCCAGCGCCTGCCTCGTCTCCTGATAATAAATGGTGACCTAGTAGAGGCAGGGAGCCGAGGGTGGAGTTGAGCCGCGCGAGCGAGAAAGACTCGTGGGTGTCGAAGAATGACGGACCGTGTTGGGGCGCCGGGAGACGCAGGGACACAGCTCGGCAACGAGGAGGAGGATCGAGATGGACGCGGTATAATGGTCAGCTTCTAAAAGGCGGGCCGCGATCGCTATGCCATTTTCAATGGACCGTTCCCATGGGTAACCCGGAGGTAACCTATCCCGGAGGGAACAGGGCGACTGTGTTTACCGAGCAGGAGATGACCTAACTGGAACGATGCGGAGTTGAAGACGGTTCTTGAGAATTTCGTTCGCGCCGTTGCTGCTGGTGGGCAGAGTTTAATGAGACTGTTATGAGAGGAGCGAAGGGAGTGCGTGACGAGGACGCGTATCGAGGGGATGTCGTCGAGCAGAGGCATTTTCTTCGCCCAGTGTTCTCGACCCTGTCCCAATTTCCAGCCAGCCTCCAACGGAGGCAGATCGAGAACGAGATGTCACGGATTAACCGGTTAACGGATCCCCGCCGAATGGATCGGGATTCGGGGAACAGGAGCTTCTGAACGAAGAGGATACGAAGAGGCTGGGATTTGGGAGCGAATGTAACGCGAGGGATGACGAGTAGAGGAGTAGGTTCAGGTGTATGAACTGTCGTTACGTGTAGGCAGAATGTTCAAGAGCAGGATCTTCCAGGGCGATCTCAGCCCTGTCCCAATTCCGGGCAGCCTGCAACAGTCCAGTACGTAACAATGAGGGGAATACCTTTACCGTACGATCGATCGGTCGACGCACGTTTCGCACTGGGCATCGATCCTCTGCCTTTTTTCATTTACCAACATCTGTATACACTGGGTTGTTTTCTTTGAAATTCAAATTTTGTATATTCAACTTTGGTTGGGTTAAAGTGGACCAGTTATTTTGTTACTTTGGATTATTCATATTTTTATTATTATTATTCTTGATGTTGTTTTTTTTTTTGAAGGTCTAGAGGTTGCTATTTTATCCCTCTGTAATTTAATGATCAATTAAAATTGAATTAATTTGTGTAGCTTTCTCCTAATTACAACATAATTATCAAAGTTAAGGTAATTGGATTTTGAACGTTAATGGACATCATTAAGTCTATTGATAGGCTTATGGTCTGTGAAATATTAATGATTTTTGATTATGAAAATTTAGTTAAACTAAGTTAGATCGTTCATGTTTATTCTGAGCCACTTCCAGGCTAAAGTGATTAACTCCACTTTTGGGATCTGTTAAAATTTTACTGCCATAGCACTTAATTCATGCTTAACTTTTTATTATTATTATTATTTTAGAATTAATTGATTTGGCAAATGGGCGGTTAAATTTTCCCCTAAAATTTTAGTGCCATAGCAGTTAATTACTGCTTAACCCCTTATATTTGATGAATTTCTACAGTTTTTATAATTTCTATTTATTTTTTTAATTAATTGATTTGACAAATGGGCCGTTTAATAATACCAAAAATTTTCCCCTAAAATTTTAGTACCATATCATTCAATCAATGCTTAACTTTTTATATTTTATCAATTTCTACATTTTTTATTTTTTTGGGATTAATTAATTTGACAAATGGGTGGTTCAATTATACATCAAACTTCCCCTGAAATTTTAGTGCCATATCACTCAATCAATGCTTAACTTTTTATATTTTATCAATTTCTATATTTTTTATTTTTTTTTGAATTTTCAATTCAAAGTTTTCCTTAAAATTTCCCCCTAAAATTGTAGTACCATATCATTGAATCAATGCATAACTTTTTATATCTTATCAATTTCTATATTTTTAATTTTCTTGGAATTAATTGATTTGATAAATGGGTTCAATTATACTTCAAACCGTCCCTCTTCATCCCCGTTCAATTCAAACGAAGAAACGGAACAGAATGAAGACATTCCGAGGATAGAAGGTTAAGACGAGGCTGATAACGCGAAAAACTAGGTGTATCCGGGTGGAGTGGGATACCAAAGAGGTCGTTGACCTCTTTGGTGCAGCTGTTATTGATCGCCCGACGAGGACTAGCAACATTGCTTCGCGGTTTCGTCGAACGCTCGTTCTCGTCCTGTCCCGCAGGATCCGTCTATATTTTCCTACCGTTAGAAACGTGTCAATTTCTAACCAGGTGTCCAGGATTCGCCCTTCGTCCTCCTCGTGATTATCGTATTTCAGCAGCTCGACCCAGAAACGTAGCTCGACGAGGGAATCCGGCAAAGAGCGTGGCGCTAGCTGACCTAATAAATACTAGGTGACCTCTTTCCGGACTCACCCTCGTCTCTCCCTGTCCCTCTTCTTCCCTTTCGATGGCTGTGAAACAGCAATGGTCGTAGGAATCTTTCGATGAAATTCCTATTCAACAGGGAATGAATGATAGCGTTTGAAAAACTATGGAAAATATGGAAATAGGTAGGTCGAGAAAGGGGTGAAGTCGAGCCGGGACGAGTTACTTGGTGCTTGAAAGATTTTCTTCTATTTTATAAAATTGTATTCCTACAGAAGAAATTTTATTAAATAAAAATTTTCTAATTGAATTGAAAATATTGCCTGAAAGATTGTAAAGAGAAATGTTGTTTAATTTCAGGCCAGCAGAGTCAGCAGGGTGAACAGGAGTTGGCGACGAAGATGTTGCAGATTCAGAGCAAAAGATTCTATCTGGATGTTAAACAGAACAGACGTGGAAGGTTTATCAAAGTAGCCGAGGTATTTCATAAGAATTTTCATCGACTTTTCATTTGATAGCAATGAAACTTCAGCGAATTTGAGAGAAAATAAAAAGGAAGAAAGGAGAATCTCTATTTTGTCATTTTACAGATTGGTGCGGACGGGAGGAGAAGTCAAATTTACCTGGCACTCAGTACAGCATCCGAGTTCCGGAACTACCTTTCAACGTTTAGTGACTTTTACGCATCCCTAGGTAAACCGCAATCTTCATTTATCCCTATGACACCAGATTTCATTCAACTTTGTTACCTGTTACGAATAATAAAAAGTATACTGTTCCAATAGATTTAGGATTATCTCCTTTGTCCAAGGAGAAAGTTGAAACCTATATGAATCCCAAAATCAGTGAAGTTTATTAATTTACTAATGAGAAGTATTTAAAATCTCTTTTCTTGTTCGACCCACTGATCATGCAGGTCCGCCAAGCTCGGAGAACGTACCAGACGATGGGAAACTGAAGTCAGAGGTGATGACCAAGGATAACAGGCGGTATTATTTGGACTTGAAGGAAAATACTCGCGGCCGTTTCCTGCGGGTGAGTCGCCCCTGTATGTACCAGCCAATGCATTTGCTTTCTACATTAAAGCCTATCAATCTTGGATATACCTCTTCAACTGAAAGGGTTAAAGGTTTTCAGAAGGATCAACCCATATAGTCATTCTCATAGTTCATCTGCTTTTATATATAAATTGAAAAATTATTTTTTTTATTAACCCGGATTATTTTTTCGCAGGTGTCGCAGACGATCACGAGAGGAGGGCCGAGGACGCAGATCGCGATACCTGCACAGGGTATGATCGAGTTTCGCGACGCGTTGACAGACCTCCTCGAGGAGTACGGTACGGACGATGGCGGTTTCAAGGGTGACTTACCAGAGGGACGATACATGCGCGTGGATAGCAAGAATTTCTATTTTGATATCGGCCAGAATAACCGTGGTATCTACATGAGAATTTCCGAGGTGCGTACAGTGGCGGGCTAAAAATACAGGGTTTCTCTTGATCCTTTCAGCTATCGCACTGATTCAACTGAAAACTTTACGAAGATACTCGAAATTTCCTGTATTTCGTTCCATTATTTATCGATTGATTTTGTACTCTGAAGATATTTCAATTTGAATTTTCAAATTTATTTGTGTTCTAAAGAGAAATACAAAGATCAATAGAATTTGTTCAATTGGCATGAATATTATGTAAATAAGGGTATGTTTTTACAGGTGAAGACGCACTTCAGAACAGCTATCACCGTACCAGAGAAATCATGGGCGCGTTTCCGTGACATATTCGCGGATTACTGTGAAAGGATGAGAGAAAGAGGTGCCGGAAGCAACGTGGGCATGAACAGCGGCGGCGGTGGAAATGTCTTACCCGAGGGGAGGGGCTCGGTGGTGGCACAGGTACCATCACCATCGACCTCACAACAGCCTAACCCCAATCCAAATTTAGACTCTCCCTTAATGAAGTGAAAAAGGCTTTAACTTAACTCGAACATTTGGAATTATAACCGTAACTCGTTTTCAAGTCATTAAGCGAAACTAAACAAACAAACCGAGAGAGAGAGAGAGAGAGAGAGAGAGAGATGGAGAAAGAAAAAAAATAAGGAACTTGTCAGAGTCTATGCCATCGTCATCGCCATTTTCATCGACATCGACATCGTCATTGTCACCGTCACACCGTCACCGTCATCGTTATCGCCACCGTCACTATCACCGTCACTCGTCGTCGTTGACTGAAAATAAATTTAAATAGAAAAGAAAAATTAATGAACACACACACACACACACACTCGGGAAAAGAAAAAAAAAAGAAGAACTCGCCTGGAACGGGTTTCCGCGTTACCGCGGAGAAAATTCGAGAAAATTCATAGATTCGTGATCGCAAGGAGATATTCGTTTAGGAAAATTTTCAAATCGTCGCACGCGATATCGTCATCGGATCGCGTTCACTCTGATCTTGTCGACCACGCGAGAGAGAAGATAAATAGAGGGGTTAAACGATGAGGAATAGCGAAAAGGTAGGATGATTGTGTGTGCGTGCGCTGTAAGAAAACGAGCCCTGTCGTTGAGCGCGATTAAAGCAGGAAGCGTGCAGCGACAGGATCGTGAATTATATAGAATTATTGCGCGATGTCTTTTTAGGTGGATACGAGTTGCCATCGATTAACGTTATAAGTACTACCGTTCATTTCCCTCAAACTGTTTCCGCGTGCCCAATCGCTTGCGTTTCTTTTTTCTCGCATTTTCGAAATTCCCGCTTCGTTATTTCTCTGATCAATTCGTTCGATGGGGTGGGACTGGGGAGGGTGTACGGTGAGGAGGAAATCTTAAAAGAAAAGAAAATATATAGATCGTCGATAGGAAATGAACTGTAGTGGAAATCACGTTACAATTGAATTTGATCGTTCAGAATTTATGAATAAATGAATAGTTGTTATATTAACGATTATATCGCCTGGGTGGTACGCGTCATTTAGATAAAGAAAGAAGGAAAGAAAAATCCGGTATCCACTTGTTGTCGATTTAACCCTAGAATAAAACGAGACATCCCCGCGAAGGCAGTGAGTTCAGAGATGATTCTGAACGACGCTGACGAAACGAGCCTCGTTTTCTTATTTTTTTTTTTTTTTTTTTCTATCACCCGGTTACGCGAGAATTATCAGCGTCGCGTGGGATCATCTGCGCGACGTCCATCGCGTTATTATCTTTTTCGTCGACGGTTGAGTCGTCGTCGCTGGTCGAGGAAGGGAACAAAGTTAGATGCGTTTATTCGCTCGACGAGCGAACGACACCCGTACACACTCGTTTGCTAAACTGAACGACGTCTCTATTAAAATGAAGAAAGAAACAAAAAAAGAAAAGTAATTATGAAAAATAATATATAAACATATAGATGAGAGAGAATTATGGAAGAGTGCGCGTGTGTGGGTGTGTGTATGAATGAGAGGTAAAAGAAATTCTAGCCGGATATACGAATCCCTATGATAATGTATATTGTACGAAGTTAATTATGTTACGTTTTGTTTCATCGATTCGTACTGAGATATTGCGCGACATACGCGTGGCTGTACAGATTCCAGAGACGCCGGTGCAGAGATATACGTGTACACGCATATACACATACACACATGGGAACACACACACACACATTCATCGTTAAATCATCTAAATGTATCATCTGTATACATTTGTTCAACACAACGGTCGCACGTGAACACGGTAACAACGGATATAAGAATTATATTGAATCACGAAAGACGAACGGTACAAGAGACGGTGTGCACGCGTACGTGGTTTACGTTACGTTTGAGTGACGGCCGAGTTCTAACACAATTGCATATTAGGTATGTATTATACGAATGCATATTAGGTATTTATATAGAATCTATATAACTGTATAATTGTAACGAAATGCCAATGTCCAATGGACCCAGGCGACTGCGTACAGCCCTGGTGAACGCTGTGATCAATCGAATTGAGGGTGTTGCTGGCCAGCAGTCGTTTGGGTCCGGTCTCCATGGACGCAGGAGTAAAGAAAGGGGAGAAAAGAAAAAAAAAAAGAAATGGTAACCACGAGACAAACAGAGAGATAGAGAGAAAACGAGGAAAAAAAAGAAAAGTTACAAAGAAATGATAAACAAAAAAAAAATAAGATATATATATATATATATATAAACAAAAAATCGAATGGAAGTGAAAAGGCAAATAAATAAATAATTTCATGACGAACGACCGAGTCGGAGGAGAATATAACGCGAGTCGAGTTATTTCTCAGTGGAAAAGGAAAATCTTAATACGCTTTGATTCTGCAACGCTGTGCTAATATCAACAAATGATAAATGAAAATGAAAAACGTAAAAAAGAAAAAAAAAATACAAAAAAAAAAAAATAAGATAAGAAATGATATTCTATCCGTTTTCTTGCGTTTCTTCGAATCGAAACGACGATTAAACCGTAAAGAAACAAAAAATAATAAATCTAAATGTTTCGCGCTGGTGCGAAACAATCGTGAACAGAGAGAGAGAGAGTCGAAGGGCGGCATAGATGCATTAAATAAAAAAAAAAAAACGCATAAAGTGCTATTTAATTAAAGTAAAAAAGATAAAGATAAATGGAGAACGCGTACCGATTCCCGTTCGCGTTCGAAGAGATGAGTAAAAAAAAAAAGAAGAATTTTATTTATTTTTTAGCAATGAACCTATTATCTATTTCGAATAAGGATATTTCTTTAATTGCATTTCCTTCGAGAGAAAACATAGTAAAAAAAAAAAAAAAAAAAAAATGGTGAATGAATCGACAATTTCGGCTGGTCTGAATTTACTTAGCACGTAGGTTTTGATGATATAAATGGAAATATAAATCACAATTAACAAATTTGAATACGCACGAGTGAGTGGGTGAATTCATGGTACGAAGAACCCCGATCCTCTTCAATTTAAAGTGAATAGTTTGAATTTTTATTTTCTCGTTCTAAATGTAGCAAATTATTAAAAAAGAAAAAAAAATGATATCTAAGATAAGTAGATAAAAATGAACAGATTGTTCGTGTTTTCCTTTGATCGATTGTTTCTTGTTTTTTTTTTTTTAATTCTTTTTTTTAAACACTTCGTCAAACTGTTTCGTTGAGTTCAAGGGGGTCGGCGAACCCGCGATCTGTGCACAAGTGTATAAAAAAAAAAGAAGAAGAAGAAATGTCCAAACCGAGCGTTCTGATGGAAACGGCTAAGAAAAAGGCATAGATGAAACGAGATCGTTCAATGGCGGGAGATGGTATGACATTGTGATCTATACAAAATTACAAATTACAAAGCATCAACAAGTAGTAGATATTTAGGATATTAAAGAAAACAAAATACACACACGTACACCTACGGTGAGACCCTGGACACAGTGTCTGAACACACATATATCCAAAAAAAAAAATAAATAAATAAATAAAATAAACAAACAAATACACGTTATTAAAATGAGGACGACGACTACAGCGTACCTAACTAGTAAAGAAGAAAAGAAGAAATGGAAAAACAGAGAGGAACACAAAGGGACAAGAGTCAAAAAAAAAAAAAAAAAGGAAAACGAAAGAAATCGTCTGACAAGTATTTAAAAAAGAAAAAGGAAAAGGAGGTGAAGAAAAAAAAAAATGAAAGGACAGAATGGGAATGAAAGATGAAGAAACACGATGCTCCTGCCACGCAGCGAGTCCTTAGACAGCTTTAAGATAATAATTATAAATGAATAAATAATAATTATTATTATTAAAATAATTAACGATAAACTTTCTATATGTTGAATCGTGTCTAGTGAGAGAATTACTATTGAAGTAAAGCAAAACAACAAAAACAAAAAAAGAAGTAACGTCTACTATCGCCACACACACACACACATACACACGGATTATAAACGAGAAGAAGAGAAAAAAAAAATAAAAAAACACACACACACACATACACACAGTTTATAATGACCATTAATTAGTTATCTATCGAATGTTTTTTTTTTCTTTTTTTTTTTAATCAATATAGCGAAGAAAAAGGTGATTGTTAGAGAATAGCTTGGTGTTTCGTTTGCTGTTTTAAACAAAACGTATAAAAAAAAAATACATTTTTGAACGGTTTGGTGATCGGCGAACCTTCTTTTTTTTTTCCTTTCTTCGTCGACGATTGAATATTAAAATAAACAGTGAGATAGAGAAGAGAGAAAAGAAAAGAAATGTTAGCCGATGATCCACGCCTAAGTTTTTATATTTGGTGGGGCTTTCACCACTACTGTTATCATTATCACTGCTATTATCACGTAGGGTTTCCATACCAGAGCCGTGTTTCGCAAGCTGTTAAATAAAACGCGTGTAGAACCAAACGACGAATATGTCCTGTTAACTAAATATACAATAATCAATCTCCCGTAGGAGAAAGAAAGAGAGAGAGAGAGAGAGAGAAAGTGTAACAAAGAGAGCGTTTTACGTGTGCGTGTGTTTAAGCGTGTATATGTTCCTGCGTATGTTTGTGCATATATAAAGTTTCGATTTTAATTAACTACACTTCTCGCTGGTGTAGCTCTGTTCGTCTATGGCGAGGCGTTTAGATAATTTAACCCCCGAATTTTTATCGTCACGACGTTTTTCTCGCATTAACCCTCTATAGGCCGAATTTTCTGTTCGGTGAAGTCCGTTTCACGGTACGTGCATTGTTAATCGACGATGAAACTCTAAAGCACAGTATTTCCATTATTATTCCATAATTTAATTATTATGATAGAGTAACGTGTATAGTTGTTGACCACTGTACAATGATTGACCCTTTAAAAAAGTAAGAATATAATGTTTTTCTCAACTCTCGAACGGCGGACCATGGAGAGCGCCCCAAGTCAGCGCGGCGGACCATGGAGAGAGCCACAATTCAAATTTTATTTTGTACTTCATATTATTTTTTTTCCCTGAATTTTACACTGTAAATTTTATCCTTGTTTAGGACACGATTGACTTAGGCTCCGCTGTTCAAGGGTTAAATAATAAAATTCAATTATCTTTCGTAGCCCGAGTACTTTTTGTTCTTTTGAATAGAGTTATAGTTTATTATGTTATATTTTCTGTACTTTTTTTTAGGAAAAGGGTTAATAACCGTACACGTTACCTTACTCGTAAGTAACATTGGTGCACAGTGTAAAAATATGAGAGGAGGAACGTTTCGAAGTAACCACGAAAATTTGATACGTTACCTGAAAGTTACTCGCGCCGATAGAGGGTTAAAATAAGCTGTTCCCTTCTCCGCTGCTTGCGACAGGAGATAATCGAACGACGCCCACGGTATGAAAACCCTGCGCACGCTGCGATTATTCTTATTATCATTATTATTATTAATTATTATTATTACGATTATATTGTCATTATACTTATTATTACGATTATCCTCCTTATTATTACTATTATTAATACTACTAGTACCATTTTATTGCGAGAGAATACTATCAGTTGTGTCCTGGCTGGGTGATCGTACAGGACCGGCCTCGAGGGGGCCGATTCTTTTTTTTTTTTTCTCATTTCATTTGCAAATTTATTTTTTACTTTTTCAACATAATCTCACACCGTCTACCATTCTTCTTGCTTGATTTCAAACGCGTTCGCTATCAGGCTGTTTCTTCCAATAAGGGGTGAAAAATCAAACTCTATCGTATAATCTGAAAAATAATATAATTTAATATGTTATATTATTTTAGAAGATAAGTGGTCTATGATGGAATTTTTTTTTCTTTTTTTTTTTATCGAACCCTGTTAACGAACGCGTCGATCTTCTTTTTATCGTGTTTACGTTTGTCATCCTCGCTCGAGCGTGTTAACTTTTTCTTTCTCTTGCTTTTTCAATTGGCCCGCTCAGGTCTGGCGTGTAAGAAAGGTACGTGCAAAAAAAACGAAAACGCCGTGCGAAATAAACGGGGGCGGGGAATAAGAATGCGATGAATAGGAGCGGAGGGTGCCGAACGGCCGCCACTTTTCACACCTCGATCGACGACGTTACATTTTCTTTCTTTCCTTTACCGTTCTCGCGATAATCGCCGTTTTCTTGTTTTCTCTCCCTGCAGAGGTAAGGGAGAGAAATAGGGAGGATGAAGTTTTTCAGCGTGGCGTTTTCTTTTCTTCCTCTTAGCGCGCTCTCGCGTGTGTGCATGCGTGCGTGTATGTGTTCATGTGCGTGTATACTCGAGATAACCGACGAAGCGAGCTATCTCATTAAGAAAATTGAAGGAAATAGCGTGTGTACCGATCGAGGGGATGATGCACCCTAACCATCTCGTAGAACAATTTTTCACCCATCGCAAGGCCGTTATTGTTTAACGTTGTATTACATTGTTGAAGCATCGTGACACTGGACGATCGAATCCTTTGGGATACAAAATTTAGGAAGATTCTATGAATCCATGAAAATTATTCTCTTTTATTACTCGCACTCCGAGTTCTTCGAGTTCTTTTAATTAGAAGGGGTGTACAGGTGGAGACATGTTTTTTTTTAATTTTCTCTCCTTACACTTATTTTTAATTAAGAGAAAGCTACGTTCACTCGGAGTGTACACTGTTCAAAAATATTTCTTCATTTGATATCAATTTTTATTGATTTTTACAATTCTAAGAATAATAAATACACCCTTCTGAGTTTCATATGTAAATTTTTATTATAATATTCTTCAGTTTATTTATAATTTGGTAATTTAAATATTTTTGAACAGTGTTAGATGTCCACAGGGACACTTTCCTTGATTAATCTAAGATTAAGATATAATCTTGCATTCGTTTAGAAATTTTCTTTAGAATTGTTCTTTCACTGTATCGTTGTCGGTTCGGAATCTTTTGTAAAGTTGCTGGTCAACTGATACAGAAAAAAAAAAAAACGTTTCACGTTGCAAAGATTCGATAGGTGTACCTTTAGATCGTTGATATACTTTTCAAATTATTCTTCACCGATCTTTGAACGATATCACTGCCTGAAAATCTCCACTGCCTTCGACGGCAGAGAGTTAATATTTCGGCAGAAACGGGCCGAGCGTTTCTCCTTGTATACGTTCACGATTACCGCGATTCGTGCCTTTTAATCTTATTATATTTCATTGCCATTTATGAAATTTCCTTTAGCAAACTTTGTAAATAGTTATAAGAATTGATAGTTAAATTGTATTCTAGGTTTCGTCCGAAATGTCCACAGTGCTCTGCATTGGAACAGAAAACGAAAGGATAAATTAATGAAAATATTTCTCCATCGAGTCCCTTTATGATTTCTCGAATGGGAAAAAGGTAGTAATTATTTTTCATTCTCATGGTGCATCATCTCCGGTATTGGTAAAACGCTATAAATGACTCTAGGAACGTTCAACAGCTCTTAAACGTTATTTATTTCGAGGATCGATATCAGCATAATATTATTGTTATATATATATATATATATATATGAAAAAAAAAAAAAAAAAAAAATGAAAGAAGAAGCTAATCGAGTCAAGTTTTCAAAATGTTACGAGCACGAGGATAATCCGCCGGATATATGGTTCATACTAATTATTTCTTCGAATCAACGTTTTTTCGCCATAGTTTGTAATATTTTAATATATTAACTATTAAAAGTGAAAAACGAGGGAGAGCCGACAGGGCGAAAGATCGTGTACCGAGTGGTCGAACGGAGTCATCTTATAATTATTAATACAACGATCGATAATCATTGATCGACCGTAAGCGACCACTGGTGACGACCTTTCGTCCGCATTGTAAGAAATGATCCAAAAATGTTGCTAGAAAAAACAAAACGACAAAAAAGGGAATAAAAAGAAAATCGAACCACTGGGGTACACACACGTGCTACAAATGCGTGTGTGTGTGTTCGTGTACGCGTCGATTGATTGTATGATTAGAAGACAAGGAAATCGTAAAAAGAAAAAAAAATATTAACAAAAATATAAAGGGAGAGCAAGAGAATGTGAGAGAGAGAGAGAGAGAGAGCGAGAGAGAGAGAAAGAAAAATAATGATAAGAAAAATCGACATTCATTTTAAGCATGACACAACTGTCCGTCTATTTGACTTGTGTGTTCGATGAAAGAAACAAGACAAAAAAAAAAACGAAAAAAAAAAGAAAAGAAATGAAAGCAAAGAAACTGAAAACACAAACGACAGAGAAATAGAAACAGTACTACTACGGCTCACAACACGTTTGAAAACGAAAATCATTGAACAACAAGAAAGAGAAAAAAAAAAGAAAAAAAAAATGATTCATCGCCTCGATGTTAAATGTAACACGTTTTACAAGGTAACAGAGCATTTCATTTTATAACATTTCTACTGTCTATACTTTTACCCGGACATTATTATCACCGTGGACGAAAGAAGTTGATCGATCCAGTAACCGCATCACCCTCCTCCAACCCACCCACCCCCTCTCATCACACTTCCTATTTCCGTTTGATAGCAAATTGTTTAGCGCACTCGATGCAACGTGCGTACGGGACACGTACTTCCGGCGAACGCTTCTTTCCAATGAGAATATCTTGACCACGTTTGCGAAACACGATATATTGTGCAGCATTTAAATTTTAGTTAGAATGTTCTGTAACTGAAGTGAAACGAGAATCTTCTTATAACAAAATACACTTTATTCTGGTATTAAAATGAGATAAGCGAGAAGAAAGATACTATAGGATACTACCCCCTATAGAGTCATTGATTTCTATTTTTATTTTATTTTTATTTCGTTAATAGAATTTTTTTCTTTTCGGCATAGATAGTTCGCTTAGCTTAGAGCATTTCTGTTTGAAATTGAATTTTTCTTACGTGAAGGTAGAACAGTTTGTCAGAGACCAAAGGGAATTTGCATAATCATAATCCAATTTTGTTATACTCAAGTAAAAGTACTTTATCCGGGAACAGTTTCGAGTAGAAATTGTTCTTTAATGGTTATACGATTTGCAAAATCCTTATTGAAAATATAATTTCATCGCGAAGAAGATGAACGTTGATGCTAACGTATCCTAAGAGATAAGCCGTAGTTCATTTTCCTTTTTCATCAGCGGTGCAATACAAGGAGCGTTTGCTCGACGTTCGCCTTCGATATTCTAAAAGAGATTTATTATTTTAAAGATCTTGTCGATAGTTAGAGATCGTCTTTAAACGTCCACGCGAGTTGGTTTAGGGAAACGAACATTTTTTATCTTCAAAGTGTACCACGAGGAAAATGTGTATGCACCATTTGCATAAACATATAGGAATTAAATGTTGGTCTTAAACAATTTTAACTGCTTTTGTTAAAAAAAAAAGGAGAAAGGGAGAAAAAGTTTGTTAGAAATATTTAGTGCCTATTTTTTCATCGTATCGTTTGTGTACAGGGTGTTCCATATAATGGGATATGATTATAGCTGTTTTTAATATAAGAATAGACTAGAAAAATTATGCTTGTTAAAATCTGCTTTTACAGTTTATTTTTTATTTTCCAGTTTGTAAAAAGCTATAATTATTCTTGATTACACGGATCACTCTATAGAATGATTAGAGTTCCTGGAAGAAAACCAGTAAAGAAAAGAATATTATTTTGAACGAGATTGTAACATTTGAATTTTCCCGCCATAAAGCTATTATTTAAATCTACCTTCTTCCCGGCACTCTGTTGTCATTTCTTTATTTTTTTTTTTTTTTTTAATGATCCTTAAGGTATAGCAATGATCTGCGCGTCAGAAAATCCTACACTGACATATTGACTTCGACAGGTAACGCAGAAAGTCGGTGGCGTAAAAAACAAAACGGAAAAGCGGCAGGCCGACCAACGACAACGTGAGTCCCTGAAACGACGCAAATCCCTGCCACGCCAAGCGGAACCATCCTCGATCATTCCTGAAAAATCCATGTCCGCTCCTGCTTCACAAATCCCGACGACCACTGATATCCCGATGTCTTCTGGTTCTGCTGTAACAACGTCGAGCGCAAGCAAAAGCACGATGTCCGAGGGGAATATTTCTAGCGGTTCAGCAGCGTCGCAAGACATTCAAGAAGTGCCGCGCTTAGAAAGTGTGCAGGTGTAATACTGCACAGGTGTTCTGCGCACCCGCGCATGCGCGATCATAAGCGCGGTAGTGACGGCGTGGGTAGCGCGATCCGGTTTAGTATTTGCCGCGCGGAGCTTGGGGTTGTATCGTTTAAGTTGTTCCTTTGTGTTCCGAATCGTTTCGTGAATAATTTAGTTTCCCTAAAATAATATTCAACTCTTACGGGAATAGTTTGCTTGTTGATTATTGAAAAGTTTAGATTAGTTTCAACGCGGGTTTCGTGTTAACAAGTGGTGCGTGCGCACGTGCTTCCATGGGCTTCTGGCGTTTCAAATAAAGTTACATTTTCGGTGTTTCCTGACACGGTAAAGTTATATTTTATTTTATTTTCATTACAAATACCGTTATACGTAAAAATTTTGAAGAGACTTTGCGTAAATTCAATTAGACTCTTTAATACATTAATACCGGTTGGAAAACCCGACTGGATTTAAGTTCGGACGCCATTTTGATTTAGTAGCAAATTCAAACTATCACGAATAACGCGTAGTTGAGAATTAATGTGTACACATAATACAAAATTGAAACACCAATATACTTTAATAGACAAAATCGGGCAACGCACCATTTTTTACACAATTTGAAAACGAAGAAACGTTATGTAAGTGTTGTTAAGTAGAGAAAAGAGGCATCGAATAACATGATGCGAATTTCTGTTCTTTTTTTCTCATTTATTTTAGTAGAGACGGATCGGTTGCGTTAATATTTTGCTTGTTCTTGCATGAGATAATAATGATAAGTTTTGCAATAAATGTGTCTGGTTATTGATTGGATTTGACCCTAGATTCGCTTACTTTAATAGTAAAAAACAAAATGCGGAATAAGAACACCCATTGTATGTGAATAACAACTTAAGTTAGTTATCACATTCTGTTCAAAACCATTAAATTTATATTATGCACTTAACCAATAATTTAATAAAGGTATTTTCTTTTGATACTATAACTTTCACATCTTAATTTTAATGTTATATATTTCAGATATACTAATACATTTAAAAATTATACATTTAAAACAATATCTTGATATGAGTATTTTAAGTTTACATAAATCTATCACATATACATAATTTTATTAAATATTATTTGAATTTAAGAGTAGTTCTCCAAATAATTTTAACCATTGAGGAAAATGCAACAACAAAGTTATTACGCTGTGCTTGTCTTCAAAATAAATGCTTTCTAATGTTCTTAAAGTTGAACTTTTAGAATCAGTTGTATGATACTCTGGTTGTATTTGCAGTAAAATTATAATTGATTGTAAGTTTCTTGGGTAAAGATCTAGAATGTCATTGTCTTGATTTTCACAGCAGTCTTTAATGTGTTTCAACACTTTTTGTATAAAATTCATAACTGTGGAGGCATAATCCAATTGTATAAATAATTCTTTTAGAAAGGCACATACGAGTAGAAAAATACATGTAGATTTACTAGCAAACTCATACAATTGACTTAACAAATTGATACTCTCTGAATTATCTATATTAACATCTTTATTTAAATCTGTACATAACATGAACTCTTCCACTAGTGGTTGTTCTATTAATTTACATCTTTGGGAATTATATATACTTTCTATCGTTGAAAAATTCAGATTGAAATTAGCATCCTTCTGTACAGCATAACATAACAAATAGTCACTTTGATCACAGGATTCCAATTCCACAAGTTTTAGAAGTAGTTTTTCTATGTAATAATTATAATATGAATTTGTAGATGCTAGACACATTAAAGCACTGGTTAATGGTAATAGGTCGTCACTTGAATCACATGTATCTAAGATATCATCTGTTATATACTTTTCTACCAAACTGTTGAGAAATGTTAATGTTTTCTTTTGATCTGTGAATATTTTGAAATTTTGAAGAGCTTCATTGATCCTACACCAATCTCTTAGAGCACTCTGAAACAAAATTAGTTATCAAAGTAATATAATAAATCTTGTCTAATTACAAAAGTACATACAATCACATGAAGACGGACAGTGTAACGTTGATATGCTTCCTTTGAAACTTTGTAAGAGAGTAACTTTGTTAATGATACACATGCTGCATTAAATATACCATTAGATGTTGGTAGAAACTGGTCGTCTTGTAATAATTTTTGGAAATCCTTTGATTTTTCAAGATCTTTTGTGACACTTTCACAGCTGCATAATATTGCTTTCAGAATCCTTTTATCCATACCTTAATATCGTGAAATAATTATTTAAATATCACAGAAAGTAATAATGCAATTTCGATTAAAATTAAAAAATCTTTAATTACACTTACTAAGATTATATTGTTAATTGATGAAAATAAATTTTGTTAATCTCACTTCTTGAACTGTATTATACATATACCCTTAGTTATGTTAGTTTCTTCTAATTATAATAAATGCTGAATAAATATATTTTGATTAACTTTGATCCTGATAATTCAATACATATACTGCTAGAAATTGCTACAGATATAAAAAGACAGGATATGTCATTGTTGTTATGATTTTGGGGGTCCCAGAGACCCCACAGGTGAGGTCAGGTTTGCATAGAGTACAGTCGGTATGACAGTTGTGTGTATTTTACCACAATTCACAGGGGCACGCATAGATATGATAAGACAATTTTGACCCCCCAATTTTTATTTCGTAGAAATTATTTAAAATATACCATAGGACCGAAGAATTATTAAAATAATTGTTTAACAAATTCGTATTCGTTTCATGTGCCTTGCTAAAAGAATAAACTGTAAAAGATGTAACTTTTATTACTATAGTGTGTATAACATTCAATAACTGTTCGATTTTTGACAAATTTTTATTTAATACATTATTGTAGAAATTAAAAATTATACCAAAATCAATTGTAATAATAATAATAATTAAACATGATTATACAAGATATTCAGGTGTAAAGGTAATAGAAATAGAAAATTTTAATAGATATAACAATAATATAGTTAATAATCAATTGTAAAATAAAAAATTGTAACGAAATAAATTTTAATAGAACAATTTAAAATTCGTATCAAGGTCCTGGCGGTAAAGCGGAACGTTACGGTTGGTCGGGCACGTCGTTACCTGTACGACCTACAGCGAGGTCATACGTATTCAGTCTTATCGCGACCGGCGAGGGATGCGGATCTACACGTCAAACATATATCGGTAAGAGTCCACGTTTGGATTATTATAGCACGTGTTCATTTATAGACTAATTATAGTGATAATGCATGTGCTTAGTGTTTTTTATTATGTGTTCACGCATACCTATGGGAATTTATTAACACATTTTATGGCGTGGTTCCCCATGTGTCTTGTGTTCCCTTATATGATAACGCATTCATTAGTGTATTCTATGGTGTAATTATTTGTGTTTTGACATATTTTTGCAAATATTTTATGATATTGGTAGCTATGTGTGTTTCCAAAATTTTAAAAACGTTTTATGGGGTTCTAGTGTTGTTGTTAGCTATGTGCTTTTGCATGATTTTGTAAATGTTTTATAGGGTTTTATGGAGTTGTTAGTTATGTATTTTGGAAAATATTTGCAAATGTATTACTTTGTTTTATGGTATGGTTATGGCAAATTTTTTATTTTAGAAAAATATAAATAATTGTATATTGCATGTTTGCACGTTTGCATGAATGAATTCGTACACGTTAACTGTAACATGTGTAAACAAAATACGAACTGAGTTCCTTAATCGTTTGTTATTGTTTCTGTTTCAGAAGAGTGCTTTAACCATTGAGGGTACCAAAAGACGAGCTGTCCAATCTTGATCGTGCCACAGCAGGGAATCAACAATCATGGGTCAATCATGGATCAATCGTGGGTCAATCATGGATCAATCGTGGGTCAATCATGGATCAATCGTGGATCAAACTCCAAGATGCGTGGCGAGTGCAGTGGTGCAAGTCAACGATCGGTGAGTCGCATGTTTTATGGTTCCTCCGGTCCCCATCATGTCGTAGGACGAATGGTCCGAATCGACACGGGGATCGGTTGTAATGTTTATCTTTTGAGCGAGCATAGTGACTCACGAATATCATTGTATCATTTTATACAATGATAATCGTGCAAATTGTTTTTCTGTGTTTTATTTCTTAGCTCAGGCTAGGGTTTTCTTGTACATATTTATATACACTTATTTCGAGTTTAAAAATGTAGAGAAGTCGGATGACCCTCCGATTTCAGAATACATTTTCTTTTCTACATGTACAAGAAATTATTTCGCGTCGAGCAGATTTCGATATCAAAGTAATCATTATGAATAACTTTGATTGTTTAGATTATTTATTTTGATATTGAAATTGCTCTTGATATTGAAACGTTCTTCAATTTTATTCATATTATTTTAATGATATTCTTTTTTTTAATAAAGTTAAAATATCAATGTATCACCTTGTACTAATCATACGTTTTAGCTCAGGCATTTCAGCACACATGAAGAAAACTGGTAGGTGGAAATTACCATTGGCCTTGTTCATTTTATGCCCAAAGCTCATTCGGGTACTTAGATGTACTCGCGTGGGTGGAGGGCGGTGGACAAGGTTTAGTTCTAAAATATATTTTGGCGGCTGACAAACATAATGAACCATACACGATATAAGTTCCACATGTGTGTGTGTGTGGTTAGGACGTGGGATTTCTATCGTTTATTAAAAACATTAATTTGCTATAATATTACCATATAATTAGAAAATACTTATCGAGAATAAATTGAAAAATTATTACAACTTATACATATTACATTAGATATTCAATAGAATATGAAAATAAAATATATTAATTTTTGTACAATGTTTGCTATTAATTGTCAGTCGATTTCAGCAAAAAGGTATGATTTTTAGAGTGTGAATGTTGAATTGAACTCGGGTGACGGAGGCGTCCCGGGACGTTTTCTCTAGGTATAGGCATTTTTGCACCCGAGTGGTATGTGTGAGAATCGTGGAGTGAATTTTTGTGAGAATGCTTTTTGCCCTTTTTAAATATAGCAATAGGCAGGCAGGTAGTTTACTTCTGGTGTGAATGAGTTTAGTTTATAAGTAGGCAGGGCCAGAGCAAGCTTTCATGTTTCTCTTCGTATTCTCCTCCAATACGTGAGAAGCTTGTATCTGGGAAAAAATGAGAATGCAAATTAATTAATTAATTTAACATTCTCTTGATTTTTCTTAAGGCCAAGCCTTAGTTTGTAAGTCGCAGTCGTGGTATTAGACCCGATTGCAAAAATGAAGTATCAAAGTGCAGTGAAGTAAAATTAAACTTACTTTGTGTTGCTTCTTTTTACGAAGCAAGTACAATTTTTGCGAGTGATTTTTTTGAGACTATTGCCGAAGAAGGAAGAGGCTACACGCTGAAGAGCCCCGGCAAAATTTGCCACAGAAGAGGGGAACTATCAATGGCTGTCCATCTTCGGATGGAGAGTCATTTTAATGTCACTATGCTTGCTAATTTGTTTTCTTTTCTTTTTTTTGCATGTCTTTTGCAGATATTTTTAAATAGCATGAGCAATTTCCTCAAGTACATATTAAGCTCGAAATTTGACGAGTTTACTAAGTCTACTAAGCTTCTATTGAATTATAGAATTCGGGTTTCTTATTTCCCTCTTTTTTCTTCAATTTATTATTTTATTTTAGAGAATTATTTTCTTATTGATTTCGCATATAAATCATATCTTATGTTCTCATTTATTTCCTTAAATGGTTTTGAGATTGCTATGTTAATTCTCTTTTCTGTATAATCGCGAATAGGGAAGGGTGCTGTTATACTTTAGGTAAGGGTGCACACGGGAATTTTCTTTTCCTTTGCTCGCGTATTGTGTTATCCTTTTTTTTAAATCAAGTTTTCTTCATTATTTTATTAACTTCATTTTCCATTCTGACGAGTGCAACATTAGGATAGCAAGTACATACAGTAGGGACCTTGTAATTAATGTAAGAGACCATCGAGAGTTATCGTGGGGTCATTGAGGAATTTATTTGTTTTGAATAAGTTTTAAGGTGTTATAAGTATGATCCAAATTCTTTATTAGTATTGTGGTATCGAATAGCCAACATTATATTATGAGGTATCAACAGGTGTCTAGTCAGATACCTGTTCAATTTATTCAGATTCTATAACAAAATTTTTTAAAATATCAGTATATAGCAAATATCACAGAAAAAGTCTTGCTGGTTTAAAAGCTTCGAAATATGTTTGTTAATAGTTCGAAATAAAAACTAATATTTTCAACTTGGATGTCAATTATTTTTTTAAATAAAGAAATAAATACATATCGCTTTATTTTAATTTTATACGAGACGTACTTCAGTTAATGAAAATGAAGTAACTAAAAGCTTTGTTTAATTATAAATGTTAATAATATGAATTGCTATATAATTTGATACAATAATGAAAAGGATAGTTAACAAAAACTATATGTACGATTTAGAATTACAATCGCTACATTATTGGTTTAAAAACACTGCATCACAAAACCCTTTAAACAAATATAACAATGTGTTAAAAATCATGCAAAATACAATTTACAAAAATGATGTATCAGGTGTTACAGGTACTGATATCCAAGACTGTAAAAAGTAAGAATCCTAAATTCAAATTTTGAAAATAATAGAATCATACAAAATTGATCCATCCTTATTTATGTAGCATTATTCAGAGATCACATATTAATTTTCATAATAGAAGGATTTTGAGAAATGTTTTTGAACATTGGAAAATTTATGTTATTCATAAATTACATACAAGAAGAGACATGTATAAAGCAAACTATTATTATAACAAAAAGTTACAGAAAATGGTGTTAAATATATTATCAAAAAATGTATTATTAAAATGGCAGCACATTGTTTTATCTACAAATAATTACTCTAATAATATTGCACCTTCTGTAAATTACATGAAAGCAGAGAAACATTATACTAAAACTTTGTTAAAGCAATATTTTACATTCTGGCTTAAGTATATTTCAATCAAAAATAGAAAGAAAATATTATTAGAGAAAGCTGTTACATTGTATAATATACATTTCTTGAAGAAATGTATTTTTAATTGGAAAATATATGTAATGCAACAGAGACAAAAGAAAGCAATGCAGGATAGAGTATGTATAGTAACATTAACATTTGAATAATAATTGTTTGCATCCTAATTTATAAAATTCTAATGTAGGCATATAAATTTTATACCAAAGGTATCTTAAAAAAATATATGGCAGCTTGGATTAGTTTCTGTGAATTCACATCATTGAAAGATAAAATAAATAATGCAATTGTGTTTCATAATAATAAATTATTATTAAGATACTTTTGTGCTTGGAAGAGATATTACAAAATTAAACTACAAAAATTAAATATTGAAGAATATATTCAAACATATTATAAAAAGAAATTATTGAAACAATATTTCAAACAATTCATTATGGTATGGTTTTTATAAAATTAATTTAAATTTTGCATTCATATTTCTTATTAAATTTTGCTTTTCTTCTATAATAGAATGTAAATGAATCTATTGCTGATAAAATGGCACAAGAAAATGCCATAACATTTTACAATTTTAAACTAATGCAAAAGGCATTTACTGCGTGGCAATGTTGGTACAATAAAAGGATAGAAAATGCTGTAAGAATATGTAAAATTCAAAGCATATTTGAAAGTAAAAAAAAACTTCAAGTATTGAGCAATTGGCGTTTATATGTATTTACAAAGAAATGCAAAAGAAGAAAAGTATTTATGTCACAGAACTTCTATAAAAAGAATTTAGCTATTAAAGTTGTAAGAAAACTTCATAGTTATGCTATTTATAAAAAGGAGAAACGAATTAAATTGCATTATTTAGATGATAAAAGTAAAAATATTATTCAGAAACTGCAATATATTTACATAGAAAGATGGAGGCTAGCGCTTTGTGCTGCTGTACAAGAGAAGCAAAAATTAAGTCAAGCTATGCAATTTTGTGAATTAAATTTAACTCGTAAATATTTCTTCCATTGGAAAGATTTTTCTCAGCAATATAAAATAAAAATGCTTCATAAACAGAATTTGTATGCAGTAGCTACAGGTTTTCTGTTGAAAAAATTTATTCTTCGTTGGCATGATAAATTGAAAGATGTTCTTGTTGTACGTAAAAAAGAGTCCTTGGTGATTTCCATGATAGAACATAAAATGATGAGAAAGTGTATCGTATCATGGAAACAATATGTTGCAAGAAAACTAGAAATGAAAAGTCATATTGAAATGGCAAAAGAACTCCATAAAAAATTTTTACTACGTGAAGGGTTGAAAGAAATTTTAAGAAATTCTCTTCACAGTATTGATGATGAATATGATATGCAATTGGAAAACGTATTAACGAGATCATTTACAAATTTCGAAATTCTGAAAGAATACTTTGATAGGTGGTACTTTTTAATTTATTTAAAGAATCAATCTAAATCTTCATGTCAAATTATAAACGATACTTCTCACCTCTTCCATCCCCAAATTTTGAGTAACAATGTATTCGATAATCTTGAAAATAGCTGTTTAATTTTACCAGAGTATATGAAGAAAAAAGTTACAATTAAATATACAAAATAAATGTATATTTAATTGTCACGTTTTCATAAAAGAAATTCAATTTATGTATATAAATAGCAACAAACGACTTGTACAAATCATTTATTATATTCGAATCGTTTATGTACATTTTATTACCTAAAAATAATTGTAGTCTGTATAATACAATTATATTAAAAATATAAGCTGCATTATATTAAAGATGAATGAAAAATGTAAGGAAGCTTGTATCATTGTCTGGAAATGTTGAAGTTCTAAAACATTTGATTAAATTTGAAAATTATAAGAATCTCATAAAACGCTAATATAGCGATTATGATTACCTTAATGTCGTCGAGATTTCGCGTTATTTTACTCCAAATTATTTGTATTTCCTCTACGAGATGTTAATATTTAAGATACACTAATGTGTGTGTAGGAGATATACTTATTCTACAATTGTTACTTCTTCCTTTTCAACTTCTTTAATTCATTCTGCTGCATAGCAGCGTCACCAAAGATTTCTCTAACTTTGCGTTTCCGTTCTTCGTCGTTTTTAATTTGTTCCTTTATTTGTAGTTTCGCCAGGAAAGCCCTGTCCCTTCGTATTTCACGCATAGCACCTTTCATTTCCTTCTTGTATTTATGTAATAATTTTTCCCGTTCTGCTTTCACCTTAGACGTGGTCCTGTGTTTCTTACCGTCATACCTGAAAAATGATTTACCAATTAACATAAAACATATCAATGAAACTGTCGAGTTTTATCTGAAACTATTACATACACTGCTTCAATTCGAGGCTCGTACAATCTCAATGGTTTTGGCTTCTTCTTTTCAAGCACAATATATTCTAGTTTCTTATTCTTCAATGCTTTCAAGTCTTTTCGCAATTGTTTAACAGACTTCCTCACACTTTGCGGATACTTATCATAGCTATTCGGCTTGAGTAATTTAACAACCGGCTCGAATATAGAATACACAGCGTCAAGTTGTTCTAGATGGTTTTTAAATTCGTTTAATAAATTCACAGCCGTTAGAAGAGCTCTTATCTTAAATTCATCGTCCATCTCTCCGTCTGTTAAATCGCTTGCTTTCATAGATGTGGTATTTGGCTCGATATCTAAATCAGTTTTGTCCTCGTAAAGGATTAATAAGTTACTCAACTCTCCTGCTGTTTTAAACGGTGGTATCATTTTTATTCCTTGAATCAGGTGTTTAGGCGTAGATACGTATATTACTCCACGTAAGAAATTGATTACAGATGGAGCAAATCTTTTGCTTAGTACCGTATACTGTAAATATAATGAATACATTATATTGTAACATTATATTCATACATTACATTAAAAAGATTAGTAGATCACTGTTACATTACCTCCAAAATAAGTGTGCATATAAAAAGACCTTTTGAGACATCCACTTTGTTTTTAATACGACATCTGAATAATATTTGAGACATAAATATTAAACAAGGAGTGGTAACAGGATGTCTATAGTCAGACGTTGGAAATATTAAAGAAACTAATTTGAAGAAAATAAGCTGAAAGAAAAAAATGTTTATTATAAACTCGTAATTTGATTTGTATAGTGTAATTAAAAATTAAACGTACCGTGTCTAAACTAGGATATCTCTTTTTGTTTTTCTCAAACTCTTCGTGTTTTTCTTTAATTATTGCCTGCATAACATTTTTAGTATTTTGTGGATCTACATGTGCAAGATCGTATAAGAAAGGGGACAGTCTGGAAAAAACATATATTATTAAATTTAAATAATGATGAATAAAATCTTACCGATAATGATTATTAATTATGTATTACCTATCAATAATTTGAAAACATTTGATCACGCTTTCAACATCATCCTCGACAGCACAGTCATTTAAGTGTTGTAATAGTAATAAAAATAAGTTTGATAATTTTTCTTTATTTTTATTATCTAGAGACCAGTGGTTGCATTTAATAATACGATCTACAATAAGCGACTGATAGTCAGGATTACGATTATGTAATAATTCTTGCAATTCCTCAAAACTTTCTGGTATTTTGTAGGTATAAGGTAATTCTTTTCTTGCATTTTCCATGATTTCTTTTCTTTTTAAAAGGTCATCTCTAATCTCTTGTTCTCTGGTTTGGTCATTCAGTTTGAGAATTTTTGTATCATTTTCTGACTTCAGAGTTAATTTCTCTTTTGAGGTAATTTCAGTATCAGTTTCATCTTCGCTAGAAGATTCTGACTCTTTTAAATCTGATAGATTGTCTTCTTCAGAACTTTCAAATTTTTCTACATTTGAATTTTCATCCAATTCACTTTCAACAGAATTCTCAGTATCTGTTTCTTTTTTAACAATGCCATTCATTTCAACAGCATCTGACTCTTCATTTCCAATTTCTTCTTTATCATTATTGGAAATTGAATCATCAGCATCACTGTTATTATCATTGTCATCATCGTTATCATTATCTTCAGTATCACTCATATCACTAGCATCTTCGTTATTTGAATTCTTTTCTGAATTTTTGTTTGAATTAACTTCATCATTTACTGTTTCATCTTCTACAGTTTCTAATTCAAAACCATCATCAAGATCATCCGCAGATTTGTGTTTGATTTCACTATTTGAATCACTTACCAATCCTTTCATTCTTGCTAAACGGTCTGATTCAAGAGCCTCTAGCTTCTCCTTCTCCTCTTTTATTATTTCATCTTCAGATTTTAATTTATCTGATGGCATACCTTTGGCTTCATATTTCAATTCACGTACAGCAATGTCATAATCATCAGCTTTTGTTTTTTCAACTGTCTCTTCAATATTCTTATTAGCAGTTGATATAATTGGAAGAAGATCTCTCCATTCAGAATCAAGTTTTTCTGTTAGGTCTATAGTTTGTTCGCGTATCTTCTGCTTCTCAGCTTTTCGTTTCTTTGATTCAGCTATAAGTTCATCTATGATATCTTTTCTAGATTTTTGGGAGTCTGATTTTGATAAAATTCCACCACCGAAATGAGCCTCTCCAACAAATTTATCATGTAATTTTCCAGTTGTATTTTCATCTTCACTGAATTCATCATCACTCTTTGGATCATCAAATTTTTCAATTTCTTCTAAGGTTTGTCCTCTGTGCGTTAATATTTCCTCATCATTTAAATTGTAAATACTTTTTTTCTTATGGGCTTTCACACGTTCTGCTGCAAATCTAGCTATTGCCTTCTCTTCTTCGTTCATGGCAACATTTTTCTCACCTATACGCTTATCCAAAAATAGATTATCTTTGTTCTTTAATTTATACTCCTGAAGAAGCGTTCCTTTACGTTTATTAATTGCTTTTGCACGTGAAATTCCTGGAAGTCCTCTATCAGTTTTACTTCTTTTTCCCAAAACATTTTGTTTATCTTTATTTATGTGCACTTCAAATGGATTCAGGCTTTTCTTATTCTGCTGATTACGCTTTTGGTGAGAAATCTCTGATAATAACTTCTTTGTTTTGACCATTTTTAATTTCAATTCTTTAAACACTTACAAAGTATTACAACACATGGACTTAAATCTTTGTGTTAAAAATTATTATTACGTTTTGACAACTTATGTTACTGTTATGGAATATACTGTCATCGTAATTATATTATTATTTCTTTTATTATATGCTAAGAATTACTCTGCTTTAATCCATAACCTCCTTTCTAAGAAAATGGATACCAAGTTGAGATCTTGAAAAAACAAATATACTTTTATATTATTATAAGTTATACCAAATAGCTTTTTATAGAAGTGGTAATTAATATTAAACTTTTGTTTTGACAAATTTCTCTTATCTATTCAATGTTTTACCGCTACCCACGTGTATAATGTAAATATACATACAATATCTTTGACTTATTGAGTCTGGCTGAAATGGACTGAAACACTATCCCAGACATAAACTTCGTCTGTGGTTATGGTAAACAGTACGTTTCGAAAGCGATCATATTAGCATCGTATTATATTATTATTTTAAGTTTAGAAATTTATAATTAAAAAGTTTTCATTTAATATCTAATGATTGTTGTTTCATAATATCAGTGGCTATTGTATAGCTTAATTTATATGAATTTATTTTGACATAACCTAAATGTAAAATATACATGATCATATATAAATTTTATAAGTTCTCAAATACTTACAAAAATGATATCAACATATAAATGTGGTGTTTGTATTTTTGGAAGATGTACACAGGTAATATGTGTCACATTATATTTTATAAACCTTATTACTGTGTCTTCCAGAAATTATTGATTATTATAATATTTTTCAGAACAATTTGCCTTTAGCATTAGCTCCTATTAATTATCCACTGTACAATGTAACTTTTCAACAATCTAGAAGTATAAAAAAACATTTCAATCAAAAATATCGCAAAGAAAGAGCACAAAAGTTTATTAAAATGGATCTACCAAAGTATGATAATGATGGAAATATAAGCCAAGATAAAGAAAGATCCATGATGAAAAAGTTAGGAATCTTACCACAAAGACAATGGACAGAGAGACCTATTCTTATTAGTTGTACACCTCAAATATTTGAATCCTATGTTGTTCCAGAAGGTGATGGAAAATTCTCTGCCATTTCTACTTCAGTATGTAATTATATTTAATGTATAATATTTGAGAACGAATTGCAAAACACTTGTACACGGTGTTAACTTTATGTTTATTAATCAGGGAGCAAAACAAAGGATCGAACTTTTAGAAAAAAAGAGTAAATCTTTTTTGGCTATTAGAAAAATTAGATCGTACGATGACGAGTTTTCAACTAAGACATTCGGAGAGAAGGCATTTGAGATTTACCTAAAAGCTCATGAAGCCTTAGTGGCGTAGGTGATATTTATTAATCTTGTGTCATTATATTTCTTCATTTGTTACTAAACTATTATTTTATAACATTATATTAGTATACATTATTATAAATGAAATTGTTTTCAGTAAAGATGATAATGCACTGCTACAGTACATAACTGAAGCAGCATTTCCTGTAAGTTTTGTGCTTTTAAATTTACTATTATTATTTCATATTCTGGAACACAAATATTCGATTTTAGATAATGATTCATAATATGGAGGATAAAACAATTGTATGGAAATTCTTAGAATCTTTGGAGCCACCACGTCTTGTACATGCAAGGAACACAAGTATGATAACAAAAACAAATGAATTCGCTCAAGTAACCGTTCGTTTTCACACTCAACAGGTTTTATAAGAAACTTTATTGCATTATTTCTCACAATGTACAATATTCAGATTGTTACATAAGAAATTACTTTTTAGATACTGTGCATTTACGATAGATTCGGACGATTGATGTTGGGTAGCGAGACAGTGAAAAAGGATGTTTTAGATTATGTAGTGTTTGAGAAGCATTTATCTAATGTGTACGGTAACTGGAGGATACACGGTAAAATTATACCAAAGTGGTTGAAACCCCAAGAAATAGCGGCGAGAACTTTTATATTACCAAAAGAAAAAGAGGAAGCTCCGCCTTCTGATGCTGAATCAGTCGCTCACACAGTACGTCCCGAAACGTTGGACGCTAATCCATAATGAGTAAACGTATAATATAATAATTACTTAATGTAGAATTATTCATTCATTAGTAAAATATTTTGAACGCAAAGAAAAAATATCTTAATTACTATAATAAAACGTCAGCTTTTCAAGTATAAGGATAACAAGAGCTGTTAACAATCCTATACCGAATACAATTAGTATCAGAAACACTTCTTCCATAATAACCGGATCTATTTTATTACTTTCTTTTTCCTCCACAATGTCTGATTCTATCCAGTACTGCTTTAATCGGTTCATTAAGCCGACTTCGTATAGTTTTATTATTCTGTACGGATAAAACCGGGTAGAATAAGATACAATAATGTTTCTTCTCGTTATATTTAGCTTATCTTATAAACTATTTACCCGATGTCGATGCTTTTCTTGTACTCGAAATTTCGCGCAATTCCAGAACTTATTATTGTCGAGAAAACAGGTTGTCCCACTGGATTTAATTGACAGATGCGCAGGTCAGTAGCTTTCTTCATGTGTACGCTTTGAATTATAGTAAATAGCTTGTTTGTTGAACATCCTATCCTGTATAGCTCATCTATCGTTTCTACGGCTGTATATCGTTTCGCTTTTCTTAATGCTATTAAATCAGAATAGTTGTTTGCCTGAAATCAGTTGCCAAATAATGAACTATAGTACCGGATTTAATCTTGATCCAGTTCTATAATTCTGTTACCTTAAATAAAATATCCGCGAAAGAACCCGATTTCGCAAGAACATGGTACGAGGAGCTGTTAATTAAAGTAGATAGATCTGAAAAAGGTGGTACGGTAATAGTTTTCGTCATGTAACAAAGTACAATTGCACCGAAACATGTTCTAATTAAGGTAGAAAATATATTCAACCATAGTTCCACTAGGTTCGAGCTCTTAAGAAGTCTTGGCGGAATATAATCTGAAAAATGAATGTATTTTCTTAAATTATTACAAATTCTTCATTTGAAAAATGCGTTACAGTTTCTTCTTACTTTGACCACACATCACGCCGAAATTGTAGAATACGTGGTCGCTCAGTTTTACATGCAACTTCTGATATGTAAGGGCCACTGCTGTCTTTTGACAAGTGTAACTGCAAACGCTTAGCAAAAGATATGTCCACAGTATTGCATACCAAACTTTTGGAGCGAATAATTGCAGCATCCAATCCAACAGATATTGCTCATTATGTTTGATGTAAAATCGATGACTGTACATTAATTAAGATATATTTACTAAGCACAAAACATGTAACATAAAAGTATTAATAACTAACATTTATGTGCATTGTCATAATTAGAATTTTTTTCTGCGGGGAGACAACTTCACAAAATATTAAAATATTAAGATATTAGAACCTGAATATTCAGGAATTTTATAAATTTAGTCTTTGAATTTTAAAATGATTTTGTTTAGAACACAGGATTATCCTGCCCACTACATAGTTATGACAATGTTAATATATTAATTTAAAGTTTAAACTTGATCAAAAATGACTGCACAATCATTTTAATAATGATTTTAATATATGTATTGATTGATACAGTATGTATAAGTAAAACTAACTAGCCTGCTTATCCTTATAGGCATAGAAAACTGAGCAGCCTTTAATCGTGAAGTAGAAGCTTGCACTCTTGGTATCACATCCGTTTCGTTTGCTTGAATAATCTTCAATAAACCATCTTCATAAGATCCATTAGGAAGTATACCTCCTAATGTTGGATATTCGCTTAAGATTGGTTTTAATCTGAAAGGATTAAACTCGGCTGAAATCTTATGTGTTTCTTATCGTGATAATTAACAGTCTTTCTGAATGGTTCTTTCTTTACGTGAAATTTAAGTAATGCGCTAAAATATGCCACATTTCTCCAGTCACCCCCGACACTTTGGTTCCATTTGCTTCTGTGTTGACGAGATTCTTTTGCTGTGAATTGTACAGCAATGTTGAATAAGAAATTGATAAAAAAGACATCTTAATAATTTGTACATTTTAAAATCTATCGTTTGAATGGGTCCAACAGTATTGTACTGATGAAATAGTAATCAAATTGTTAAAAAGAAGATACTTTACCAAGGAAGACGAATGCCTTTACCTCAAAATAAGTGAATCGTACAATTTTCCCTTGGAAATTGTGCGTTTCCCGTTCCCGACTTCGCTTAATAATTTCCTGATTGAATGCAGCAAAATATGGATCACTGAAAATGGGCACGAAATTTCCAGTTTTCTTATTCCACATCACTCCATTCACAGAATGAACGGGTTTAAAAAATTTGTAAATCATTAAAAACAATAGTAACTCTTTCATAAAGGCAACTTTACTTAGACCGTTTCGTTTCGAACGAGAACTATTCATGACTGTATTTTTTTTTCTATTTCTCAGGATATTGTTACGATGATACAGAGATTATCGTGATATCTGATGTTTTAGCGTGTGATAATTATAATCGAATCGATCTCCATTTGGTGTTCATTTCATTTGATGAACGCTATTATAAAGCATTTTATACGGTGAATTAAAGCTTTAGATATTCTTTGATATAAGAAACTTTTATTCTGTTCAATACAAACACAATGGAACTTTGTATCCATTGGGGTAATTAGGATTTTTGTTTAGGGTGAGCCAGATTATCTTATTTACATTTGGGTGCAATTCAGGCTTTTGTTGATTAATGTTGGACTTTTATTAAAGGAAGAATGATTTACTTATCTCATTAGTTGCTTTTAGTTTTGAGAGAAGTTAAGGAAAGCTAAAGTGGGTTGGAGGAGCTAGAGTAGATGAGGAGAACATAGGGAGATCCTAACTTAGAACCTCTTGGCCTTATGCGTGCATTTGGATGCAACATAGAATTCTCTTGATTATTAATGGGCTTTTATTAAGAGAAGAACCTCTCATTACCTGCTTTTAGTCTTGAGAGAAGCTAAGAGCCCAAGAGACCTGTTAGAGCTAGAGTAGATGGGGAGAACATAGGGAAATCCTAACTTAGAACCTCTTGTCCTTATGTGTGCATTTGGATGCAACATAGGCTTTTCTTGATTAATGATGGGCTTTTATTAAAGGAAGAGTCTCTGCTTTTAACCCTGGAAGGAGTTAAGAGCAAAAGAAAGTTAGAGGAGCTAGAAGAGATGAGGGAGTATAGAGAGGTTCTTATCCCCTAACATAGAACCTCTAGTCCTCAAGCAAGTGGCAGAATACTCAAATTTTCCACTTTCCAAATCAGGCAGGTGGCAGAATACTCAACTTTTCCACCTTTCAAATAAGGCAAGTGGCAGGAGTTTCCTCTTTTTCCACTTCCCTTTGATAAAAGAATCCCAAATTGTATATGACCACAGGTACTTATACACAATCACCCTTGTAAACCCCAAGAGACTTGGATATATACCTAGTCTTTTATCTTCACCACCCCCATACATTTATCCTACTTGCGTGTCTGTTACATCAACAATCAACGAATTCACTTTGTCAGATGGTGTTAGCATTCGTGATCCTGCATTTTTTTAATGCATCCACGATGCACTGATAATCACCCTATCACGTAATCGTAGCCGAGTTTCAGGTCACTGATGGAAATACAGCGTACGATGCAAATCTAGTGTACCATTTTATGAAAAAAAAAGGAAATAAAATTCAAGGAAGAAGGTTTATAAAATCAACGCATACTTTTTAACATTTATTCCTGGAACCGATCAGGATCGAGCATCTTAAACGTTAAAATCAAAGATCTTAAACTTATGATCTCTTGTCGATGTTTTTAAGGGAAAGAAAAAAAATCTTAATTAGTATAATAAAACGTCAGCTTTTCAATTATAAGGATAACAAGAGCTGTTAACAATCCTATACCGAATATAAATAGCATCAGAACCACTTCTTCCATAATAACCGGATCTATTTCATTACTTTCTTCTTCCTCCACGTTGTTTAATTCTATCCAGTACTGCTTTAATCGGTTCATTAAGCCGACTTCGTATAGTTTTATTATTCTGTATGGATAAAACTGGGTAGAATAAGAAAGAATAACGTTTCTTCTCGTTATGTTTAGTTTATGTTATAAACTATTTACCCGACGTCGATGCTTTTCTTGTACTCGAAATTTCGCGCAATTCCAGAACTAATTACTGCCGTGTAAATAGGTTTTCCGACTGGATTGAATCGACAGATGTACAGGCCAGTAGCTTTCTTTATGTCTACGGTTTGAGATATAGCAAATAGCTTGTTCGTTGAACATCCTATCCTGTATAGCTCATCTATCGTTTCTACGGCTGTATATCGTTTCGTTTTTCTTAATGCTATCGCACAAGAATCGTTGCTTGCCTGAAATCAGTTGCAAAATAATGAACCGCTGTACCGGGTTTAATCTTGATCCAGTTCTATAATTCTGTTACCTTCAATAATATATGCATCAAAGAACCCGATTCCACAAGAACATGGTACGAGGAGCTGCTAATTAAAGTAGATAGATCTGAAAAAGGTGGTACGGTAATAGTTTTCGTCATGTAACAAAGTACAATTGCACCGAAACATGTTCTAATTAAGGTAGAAAATATATTCAACCATAGTTCCACTAGGTTCGAGCTCTTAAGAAGACTTGGCGGAATATAATCTGAAAAATGAATGTATTTTCTCAAATTATTACAAATTCTTCATTTGAAAAATACGTTACAGTTTCTTCTTACTTTGACCACACATCACGCCGAAATTGTAGAATACGTGGTCGCTTAGTTTTACATGTAACTTCTGATATGTAAGGGCCACTGCTGTCTTTTGACAAGCGTAACTGCAAACGCTTAGCAAAAGATATGTCCACAGTATTGCGTACCAAACTTTTGGAGCAAATAATTGCAGCATCCAATCCAACAGATATTGCTCATTATGTTTGATGTACAATCGTTCACTGCACGTTAATTAACAGATATTTATGAGGCACAAAACTTGTAACATAAAAGTATTAATAACTAATATTTATGTGCATTGTCATAACTAGAATTTCTTAGAACCTGAGTATTCAGGAATTTTATAAATTTAGAGTCTTGGAATTTTAAAATCATGAGATGACCAGTGCACATTGTTGAGAGCCCAGGATTATCTTAGTTATAACAATGTTTATATATTAATTTGAATCTTAAAATTGATCAAAAACAACTGCACAATCATTTTACTACTGATTTCAATATATGCATTGATTGATATAGTATAAGAAAAACCAACTAGCCTGGTGATCCATAAAGGCATAGAAAACTGAGCAGCACCGGATCGTATGCTAAAAGCTTCCACTCTTGGTATCACGTCAGTTTCGTTTGCTTGAATAATCTTCAATAAACCATCTTCATAGGATCCATCAGGCAACCTAGCTCCTAATGATGGATGTTTGCTTAAGATTGGTTTTAATCTGAAAGGATTAAACTCGGCTGAAATCTTATGTGTTTCTTATCGTGATAATCAACAGTCTTTCTGAATGGTTCTTTCATTACGTGAAATTTAAGTAATGTGCTAAAATCTGCCACATTTCTCCAATCGCCCCCGACACTTTGGTGCCATTTGCTTCTGTGTTGACGATATTCTTTTGCTGTGAATTGTGCAATAATTAAAAGACATCTTAATAATTTCTATAACTCAAAATCTATCATTTGAAAGGGTTCAACAGTATCTCACTGATGGAATAGTAATCAAATTGTTAAAAAGAAGATACTTTACCATGGAGGTCGAGTGCCTTTACCTCGAAATAAGTGAATCGTACAATTTTCCCTTGGAAATTGTGTGTTTCCCGTTCCCGACTTCGGTTAATAATTTCCTGATTGAATGCAGCAAAATATGGGTCACTGAAAATGGGCACGAAATTTCCAGTTTTTTTATTCCACATCACTCCATTCACAGAATGAACGGGTTTAAAACATTCGTAAATCATTAAAAGCAGTAGTAACTCTTTCATAAGGGCAACTTTCCTTGGACCGTTTCGTTTCGAACAGGAACCGTTCATGACTATTTTTTTTTCTATTCCTCAGGATATTGTTATGATGATACAGAAATTATCGTGATATCTGATGTTTTAGCGCGTAGTAATTATAACCGAATCGATCTCCATTTGATGTTCATTTCATTTGATTAACGCTATTACAATGTATTTTATACGGTGAATTAAAGCTTTAGATGTTCTTTGATATAAGAAACTTTTATTCTGTTTAATACAAACACAATGGAACTTTGTATCTATTGAGGTAATTAGGATTTTTGTTTAGGGTGAGCCAGATTATTTTATTTACATTTGGGTACAATTCAGGATTTTGTTGATTATTAATGGGCTTTTATTAAGGGAAGAACCTCTCATTACCTGCTTTTAGTCTTGAGAGAAGCTAAGAACCTAAAAGAACTGTTAGAGCTGGAGGAGGTGAGGTGAACATAGGGAGATCTTCACTTAGAACCTCTTGTCCTTATGTGTGCATTTGGATGCAACATAGTCTTTTCTTCATTATTAATGGGCTTTTATTAAAGGAAGAGTCTGCTTTTAACCCTGAGAGGAGCTAAGAGCCAAAGAGAGTTAGAAGAGCTAGAGGAGATGAGGAGAGTATAGAGGGATCCTTGTTCCCTAACTTAGAACTTCTAGTCTCTAGACTTTAAAATCATAGCCAAATAAGGCAAGTGGCAGAATACTCCATTGTTTCCATTTTCTAAATAAGGCAAGTGGCAGAATTCTCCTCTTTTTCCACTTCCATTTGATAAAGGAATCCCAAATTGTATATGACCACAGGTACTTATAAACATTACCCTTGTAAACCCCAAGAGATTTGGATGTATACCTAGTCTTTTATCTTCACCACCCCCATACATTTATCCTACTCGCGTGTCTGTTACATCAACAATCAACGAATTCACTTTGTCAGATGGTGTTAGCATTCGTGATCCTGCATTTTTTTAATGCATCCGCGATGCCCTAATAATCATTCTGTCACGTAATTATAGCTGACAATGAGATTCAGGTCACTGATGGAAATACAATGTACGGCGCAAATCTAGTATACCATTTTATGAAAAAAAAAAGAAAATAGAATCTAAGGAAGAAGGTTTATAAATTCGAGGTATACTTTTTAACATTTATTCGTGGAACCGATCAGGATCGAGCATGGCGGGGGAAGAAATGAACTGATCAGTTTCATACAAAAAACATGGATCGTATATATCATACTTGATCGTGTATATATATGTATAAAGATCTTAAACTTATGGTCTCCTGTCGAAGTGGTTTGACATAAATTAATTGAACGTTTAACCGACGATGAGCCTTCGAAGCGGGAACCAGTATTACCGCATAATTAAGACACCGATTCGTAGGTTCGTCATTGCCAAGAAAAATTCTATAATTTTCTTCAACTTAATCGTTTACCTCTAATCGTCTCCTCGTTTACAATGTTCTCAAGCTTTTCTCGATGAAACGTTTCATCCGAATAGAAAAATTATCAAAAGTATAATACAAAATTCATTCGAACACACTCATTCACACTCTAGGCTCTCTCGTTACTTACTTACGACTCTATTATATTCACTCTATCGCTCTGAACAAGCGTCATTTAGTTTTATTTCTCACGTATTATCCAGTTTCACCGAATGCTGAGACTAGTTTTGAATCATTCGGGGACACGGATAAACGTCCATCCCATACAGTCGCACGTTCTACGCTCTATACACGAATGATAATTATGTTCCTGTATAATTTACACAATTAATAGCGTTGACAATTCCAATGAAACTCGTTGAATCGTCTTTACTACTAGCAGTCATGTGTGGGATGTACAGATGTTGGACAATTGATTCAAATCAGAAATCACATCCCTAAAGCAATTTGTAATTTACTTTCCATTAATTAAGTTTCCTTAAAACTGGAAATCTCGAATCTTAAATAATAAAAAAATAATATAAAATTTTCTTAGAAATTAAATCAAGATGGATCATTGACAAAAGTAGCCCATATAAAATAAAAATCAAATCTTTCCTTTACTTTGTCCAACTTCTGTAGATTCCTTAACTTTTTAATCGGCTTCCTTAACTTAATTTAAGAGATTCGTTAGAAAAATTACCGTGTAAGTTCTGACAGTCATTTAGAACAAGTGATCCAGTTACATCAAAATATAATACCAAACAGAGATAAATGAATTTCATCTAAAGAAAGTATACACGCTTGGTTTGAGCAGAATAATTGCTGTTCGTATCTCGATACACGATATGATTCGAATTGCTTTTCATTTTCGGGACGAATTAAATACACTGATAGTCCGCTGAATTCGTTTCTCCTTAAACGCACAATTAAATCGCGTATTGACTTAATGCTATAACTGATACTTTTTATTATTGTGCCATTCATGGTTTGATGAATCGTTCGTAAGTGAATGATCTAAAGTACATCGTTTACCAGTCCGTTAGACATTACAAACACAACTAACGTTACATATTTATATTACACCCTAGCAACAATATATCAGTCGAAAGTTAATCGGTATCGCGTATGCAAAAATATAACTAAAAATCATGTAAAAAGTCTCGATAAAAGTTACAAAGATTTACAAATTTTTCTCACATAGACAGTACCTTCTAACATTACCACAGAGGAAACGTTCATTTCTCTACGTATAAAATCAATGTATAAATTGATTATTCCTTCGCCAGAATGATTTAAAAAAATACAAATAATTATTTGGAAAAGGTACACGCGACCAACATTAACGGTACAGTCTACTGGTAATACACGATTCATGTATTTAATTACCTGTATAAAAATTCTCAAAGATTGTACCACCGTCCGACTCGTTATCGACGGTATAAAATATGTAAATCTCAAATATGAAATAAATAAATACGGAAACGTGGCAGTGATTAGGTATCAGAGTCATGGTACCTATGTTCAAGCTTCCAAGTACCCTAGAAAAACGTACCGTATAGATATCTTGTACAGCGATTATTGTAAATACGTAGAAACAATAGAGATTCATTCGCGAACGTGTTCACTTTGATACCCTGGTCTCGGTGGTGACCTTACTGGGGTCTGGTAACCTGACAACTAACTGCGCTCCGTTTTGCATTGGTCTGGTGCCGTTCGGCGTGTTCGTTTTCCCTGGTACTTGTGGTGCCGAAGGTAGAACCTTTTTAGCTCCGCTCAATTTCGGCGAACAGCACTGTTTGTCGTCGTATTCGTTCAAATTAACGTTCGTCGTCTGGTTCGGATAACCGGTTACCTTCATCGGTGTACCGTGTTCACTGAAACCACAATTCAGCCTTTGCTCGACAGGATTCGAATTCTGAAAGTTCGGCGGTAACATTTTGATCCCGTTACTGTGGTCGTTCAGATTGCAGAACGTCTGTTCAGTTCCCTTGAAGTTCATATCCTTCGGATCGCATTTGTAGATAGGCGCCGACAACTGCGTGGAATTCGTTTTGTTCGTGCTTTTGTGACTGCTACCGGAGTAACTGGTGATCGACTCGTTACAAAAATCGCTTAGGTATGTTTGATTTATGTACCAGTTGTGCAAACGATGGTGAATCTCCGGGAACTGTGGTCTACGGTTCGCCACCTCGTGCCAACATTCTATCATCAGGCTGTAGATCATTGTGGGACAGTCCTCGGGGCAGGGTAGTAATTGCCTTGATCGTATCATGTCTATCACCTCTTGATTATTGTATCCGTAATACGGCTGTGAATTAAAATTAACATTAGAGATACTTCATTAGATTGTTCATTATGAATAATTACCTGCAAACCATAGCTGTAGATCTCCCACAGTACCACTCCAAAACTCCACACATCCGATTCTGTTGTAAATTTGCCATAAAGGATTGACTCTGGAGGCATCCATCGAACTGGTAGCAGGCTCTTAGATTGTACTCTGTAGTAATCGCTGCTGTATATGTCACGAGACAGGCCAAAGTCAGAGATCTTCACTGTTAGATTATCTCCAACCAAACAATTCCTTGCAGCTAAGTCACGGTGAACGTAGTGATGACTAGCTAGGTATTCCATACCTGAAGAAGAATGATATTATTAATAAGAGCCCTTAATTATAATTTATAAATGGATGGAAAGTAGCTGAGCTAACCAGATGCAATCTGTAAAGCGATGTGTAAGAATTCTGGCTGTTCCAAAATCTTTCCAGTTGCATTGTTCAATGGAACGTCTGATCTTGGGGAATGGCAAATGAGAAACTCGTGCAGATCTCCTTGAGTCATGTATTCGAATAACATACACATTGGTTCCCCTTTCAATATCACACCCAGCAAACAGATGATGTTTGGATGCCTAAGGTCTGTCATAAGATCAACTTCCCTTTTGAAATCACTTTGTGTTTTTGGACTTGCGTTCTCTTTCAATGTTTTCACAGCTACGTAAATAGGTGGTTCGCATTTGTTGCCTGTTTGTAATTCCCCTTTGTACACTTTTCCTGAAGAAAGCATGAAAGGATGTTATTTATTGTATTATAATCGCAGATGAGATCTTGTTATTTTATTTCATGTTTACCGAAAGCTCCTTCTCCAAGTTCCTGTAGAAGCACAACATTGTTGGTAGTAAACTGTGGCACTCTATTATTAGACGTCCTACTACTGCCGCTGCTTAATGTCCCAGTTCCTGGAGTTGTGTTACCAGGACCAGCTAACAGAGAGCTCATTTCCATAGGTTGCGTAGTGCTTCGTCGTCCGTCGTATATATTCTTGTCACATTGTATACCCGTTAACATCTGTTTAACGAAAATTTAACGTTCATTAAATGTTCGATTTAAACAAAGCTTCAGATAAATTCTTACTTTATTCGCTGGCAAGTGATTCATTTGTCTTCTAGATTTTCTGCTTCTATAGCAGCAGCAATAACAGACCAATATGACAACAAATCCTCCTGTTAGCACGAAACCAACAACTGCATAGATCCATAAGTTCTCAACTGGAAATAAGAAAAATTTAACATCATATTTGAACATTTTTACTTTGGTTTTTATTGGTTACATATGGTAATAGTTAAATTTGAAATAAAGCTAGGGAACCCTAGATTAAAATCCTAGTTACATCAAATAGTGTAGCCTTGGACCACACAATAACAATTAAGGGTTAAATTTTATATAATTCATTATCAAAATAAATATTTCATCCAAAAAGCAACTGAGTACAAAACATAAAATCCTAATATTTTTAATAAAACTAGGGAACCCTAGATAGAAATTTCAGTTATATCAGTCTAATAGCGCACCTTTGGACCACACAATAACAGTTAAGGATTTAATTAGGAGCTTACCACATTTAGGTATATTACAAAATTCCCTCTGCGGTTTGCTATCGACATAAACGTAACACCATGGTTGCGCTTCTTTATCACCCGGGTTACGGCAATACGAATGTTTTCCAGCTAATTCGGGGTACGCGGAAATCTGGAGATTGAACTCGCCATGCGACCATTGCATGCAAGGTCTTCCGCTGATACTTGTCTTTACGATACCTCGATAAGACTTTCCGTTTCCCCAGTAACAATAGTCGTCTGTAAAAAATAATTTGCATAAATTACACGTATCCATACCGAGGCTTCTTTTAAATAAGGTAACTTACTTTCTTGCACATTGTTCCCTGAGGAAATTCCAAGACTCAAACAATCATGAGCTTCAGGGGTATTTTCCATTGGCAAATCAGAACAGTCGATTAAAGGCACTTGATGTCCAATCAATGGGTGTCTCTTAGCGATTGCATACTCTTGTCTACACAAGTCATTCTCTAACATTTCACATTCGCGTCGACAGATCCGTCGTAATTTACGATTGATCTCGTTTCTGCTTGATGACTGTGCGTCGCCGTAGCTCTGATTAATTATTTTCTTATTGGAAGGCTTTCCATCCTTGTATGGATTGAATTCGGAACCAGGACCCAACGTGGGGCTACGTTTTCTGGGAATGCCGTGCGATCTTGAGATATCATCCACGTCATCTCCATCACCTGTGTCCCTTGATAAGTCGCCTTGATTCGAATTTAACAGGTGGAACAAACTTGTGCTCACTTCTGAATTCTTAAGTTTGATAATACTGGCAGGATCACGACATACTGGGAATGCAGAGTAACACAATGATGGTTTTGCATACCCTATACAACTTAATGAAATCTCGCTGAAATATGAAAAATGCAATTTGTATTTGCTTATCGTATAATTCATTGTTGCAATTGATTATAACGCATACTTACTTTGAATATTTAATAACACCAAAAGCTTTCATCAGTTTGTCATCAAGTAATTCCTGTGTCATTGGGTACGGAATATAAACTGATTGATTTCCTAAGAACTGGGCACATGTCTTTCCTACATATACCTAAAAATATAATAGACAGTTTTAACGGAGAAATCATTTGTTAGTTTATTTAATTTGAAATTGCTATGAAGGTTCCTTTTATATACCTCACATTTTCCTTCATGATTGTCTTTTCTCCCAGGAGATAATTGCATATTGACGTTTCTAAGGCCGCCGATTGTATGAACGTCGATATTACTAGATTGAGAACTAGTTGGTTGTGGACTTGGTGATAATATACTAAATGGATTTGTCGAAGCCAGATGAGAGATGTGTGGCGTTGACATTCCAGTCCCTGAGAGGTCTAATCCATCCCCAGGTCCAATGCTACAAATAACAGAAATTAATTTAATATTATTGCAATAAAATAAAAAGATATGTGATATTATACAAATTTTTATAATAAGTTTAGTAGGTTAGGGGTGCAATAATATTTTTGCTTTATTGTTGCGAAAAATAATACATTTTGAATGTTATATATGGATACACTGATTCATTTTTTATTCAAAAAGAAAGTATCAATTTATTGATTCATTAGGTGAATATTTTCTGTCATGATTTTCCCTAAAACAAACCATTGTTTTTCATAACATAACCTTACTCAATTACGATCAGAAGCAGACCAAACAACATCCTAATGATAAGATAAAATGTTTGAAAATCATAATAAAAACAGGCATATATAATTGTCGAATATTTATTTGATTTGTGCTAGTTACATTGTCTTGTACATAATAGAAAAACGAATTCGCGGTATTTTTCAGTAACCTCACTCTAAAGACAACAAAGAGTGATCACCTTGTCTTTGTAATATTAGTAACATTTTTGACACTATTTATGGCACGTACAAAAATACACGTATTTCGCAACAATACTAGGTACAAGAGTAGCTTCATAATTATAAATTATCTATGAAAATTTTAACAGAAAGCTTATGTCATTTGACACCACACCCGGCGTCCATTTGTAGTATGTAAACTGACGCTAATCATAACTTTTGGCGTATGAATAAGGAAGTTTTATTATTTTATATTAAACAAAATTTCTGAATGAAACAATAACAAAAATTTATATCAATTGAAGTTCGATATTCTAGTGAACTATTTCATATAATAGTTAATAAAATTTAAGCTCTTTTAGGTACTTTTATTTCTCTTCAAAATATAAGTATTTTTGGAGTAACAAAGGGTATCCTTTTCTTAGTATTTATAATAAATAAATGAGATATTTACCTATCCAAGAAATCACTATCTCCAATCATGTCCGGGGAAAATCTGTCGTCTGATGTTTGACTGATAGGGTGATCAGGATGGACAGGAACTGTAAAATAAAATTTTCAAATTACAAATGCATATAAAATATTTTAAAAGAATTTTCAAAAATTGTAAATTGTGTTATATATCAATCGAAGCGTATTTTAATTCTCTACAAAAAAGTATTAAGGTACTTGGGTCGAAAATTCATCAGGTCAAAAGATATCTTAGGGAGAGACAGGGAGAGCCTGGAGGTCTCTCCCTGGGATATTTTTTAAACTAATCAATTTTCGACTTAAGTACTTTAGTAACTTTTGTAGAGAATAACAGTACGCAGCAAATGACGTCGAAAGAAGTGAAAAATTCTAAAAAAATTTTTTCGAAATTTTAAAATGATATTCATATTTTTTTTTGAATTTTGTACTTTGCTATACATCAATCGAAGCGTATTTTAATTCTCTACAAAAAAGTATTAAGGTACTTGGGTCGAAAATTCATCAGGTCAGAAGATATCTTAGGGAGAGACAGGGAGATCCTGGAGGTCTCTCCCTGGGATATCTTTTGAACCGTCGAATTTTCGACCCAAATACCTTAATACTTTTTTATTAAGTATTAAAAAACGCTTCAAATGATGTATAGAAAAGTACATAGACGTATTTAAAAAAACGAAGTTGACCTTGAGATTTTTAGAACGCCTCTACTTCCGGTACCGACATATTCATCAAGTTTTGCCCTATTTTACACCATTTAATTTTCCTTAACGACATTTTTTTTTATCCTCTATCGTTTCAGAGATATTCATAGTTCAGTCATAGAACACTCTCTACGTGTCAAAAAACTGTTACTAAAGTTTGAAATAGACGGTGCGATACGAAATCGCCTAAAATCTCTCCGGTCCAGGGTGTTCCTCTGTGGAGGGAGGGCTTTTTGTACGCCGGGCACGTCGCCTAGTCCTTTTGAAAATCTCCGGGTCTCGCGCGAGCCTGCATTTGCAGTTACGGTTTATTCTCCACCCTCTTGCTCGGCTTGTGCTCGCCTTTGTGCCGTTATAATTCTAAAAAGAGTTGGGACACGATGAAAGAGGCGTCCGCTAAAAATTCCCGACCGTCGAATTTCCCGATCTCTCCTCATTTTCTTTTTCTCTTTCCACCGGTTTCTATTTCTGTACCAGGTGGAAAATTACAGCTTCTCCTCTGTGCGGGCTGATAGAATTCATTGAAAGAAATAAAAAAAAAAAGTGTCACTTCATTGCGATACACCGGTTTCAAAGTTTTCCGTGGTACCCAAAGAATTTTCCGGATTTTCATCAGGGAAATTTCACGATAGCTGCCCCCACGTCGGAAAGATCCTTTTGAGGAAAAGTAATTTCGTGTCGTAATCGAGCCGGTTTATTATAGGTGAATTGGTCTTCGGGGAGATGCCCCTCTGTGTTTGTCCTGTTCGCAAGATCTGCCCAAAGTCCAAGGGCTGGTACAAAGTAAATAATATCGGAAATCTGAATCTACCCTCGGATCGGTCTCCAAGGAGACAACTCGCTACGCTTCCCAAAAACTTCTCCAGCCATGTTGTTCGAATGACACTCGTTAGGGAGTTACGTGTCTTTGAACGGTTAAACAAAAAGCAGTATTAAAAACTTGTTTGTGGAACCAAAAGTATTCGGGCTACGAAGGGTAATTATATTTTATCCTTCTTAAATGTATAATTTTTAAACAAAAAAGTTTCATATATTGGAGCAATAATTTTGAAGGGAACAGTATGTTTAGAAAACGAAAGTAATATTAAATATAAAATTAGATTAAAATTAGGGCTCTCTCCATGGTCCGCTGTCCGAGAGTAAAGGGGTGTAGATTCGGAATTATTGTTTATTAGAAATTCAACATATACATCTTATTATATGCTATTTCCTTAGTAATTTCTGAAAATTTGAACTATGTATCCATCAACAGAAGAAAATGGTTGGTTATTTCATTTTAACCCCTTTCACCGAAATACCATTTGTGGTACCAGATAATATCTCTGTGAGCTTTTATCTGAAACAAGTTCTTTTGATTTTACATTAAAATAGACAAAGAGAACTGGTACTTGTCGAAGCCAATTTTGAAACTATCAATATTTGACAAATTGGCACCTGTTTGAACCTAAATTTTCAGACATAAATTCTCAACTTCTTTTGTTAATAAAAAAAGAAAAAATTCCCTTCCACAAGTACTAGATTTTAGTCTTAAAAATATTACCACAAAGTTTGATCCAAATTAGTTCAGTAGTCTTAAATATTTCTGGTACCGATTTGGAAAACTGCATTTCGAGTAAACTGCCTTTAAAGTTTTAATTGTCTTACTAGTAGATGCGACTCGTTCTAATTGTTAAAGCTAAATGAAAATTTGGGAAAGTATTCTAGAAGAATATATAATACAATTTTCGAAAAATCGATTTTTTTCATTTTATCAAAGGTATATAACTTCTTAAAGAAAATAATAGATCTGAGGATAAACAGAGTATACAGTCTTCTGGTTTCACCTTGATAAGTAAATCAAAATGGTTTACAGAATCAAGATGGTTTAGCAGAATGTTTCCACCATTCGTTTCCATTTATCGTGAATTCCATTCACGTTTAAAATAGAAAGCCTCCTATAATTACAGCCATCTTTTCATCGAACGGAAATATTTGCCGTTCGTGCGCCAATGGGACGTTAATAAAGCTGAACTGATGAATGAGATGTGCATAAAAAAAAAAAAGAAAAAAAAGAGCAAAAAAAAAAAAATTGAAAGCTCGCTCGATGCTTTATGGACTTATGGAGTGGATTTTTATGCGGCTTCGTCGACAACCACATATAACTCGCTCGCATCGATTCTGTTTTGATTTCAATTATCTTTCATTACACGGACCGCATTGTATGATTTCCGGCCGCGAATTCGATACACGATACGACTCGGTTTCCGTTCGATTTATCGTGACGCTGATAACAGATGGCTATCGGGATGACTCTCTCGTTTTTTTTGGGCTATTTTATTTATTGAAATTGAAAAGGTTCCCATGTGGAACGAAAGGAAATAAACGAAGAATCGTAAACTCAAATCGAGCGTAAATCGATCGAAATTGTTTTGAAATGATTGATATATTTGGTAACACAAAATAGATTTTCAGTTGTATTGATGTATTTGATTTTGTTTCGTGTCGTGTGACATTTCTATCAAAAATGGATTTTAATAGTAGCACTATATTTTTTTTAGTATCTTTGTTCTTTTTAATAATAGCTTTATTTTATGATAATTTGAAGAGCATTCATTTAATTTTTTTTTAATTAGGAAAAAAAAGTATCTCTTGTTATTTACTGTCAATGGCAGTATTAAAGTTTCAGGTGAAAATTTTTAGATCAATTTTGATCCAAACGATAAATTCTGTGTATAAATTATTTAGAATGAAATTATTTGCGAATGAAACTAGAAGGTGAATGGAAGTTGAACGAAAAAACGAGCTCCAGATGCGAGCCCATTGCGGGGGAGGGGTTATTAATGACCCACGAGTTCTCTTATCTTTTCTACTTCCTGTTCGAGATACATAATACGTGGGTTGGACACGTAACCGCTGCTGCATCTCTGTAACATAGTGCGTTCGACTTTGGTTCTTGTTCTACGACTCGTTTTCACCGATAAGAATCTATTTTTTTTTTCATATGTAGAGTTGTAGGTGTAGTATAGTTTAGAAAACAATTTCAAGGAGTGTCATGCTCCATTAAAAGTGATCAAATTGAATTTAAAAAATTTCAGTCAAAATTCAGTATGCAATGTATCTAAATACAAAATATAAGATATTTATATTTTTAGTAAAACTAGGGAACTCTAGATTAAAATCCTAGTTACATGATTCCAATAGGATACACTTGGACCTTGCAATAGCTAAATTTTAAATAATTTATTATCAAAATAGAAATGCATCTAAATACAAAATATACAATTTTGATACTTTTAATAAAGCTAGGGAACCCTAGATTAAAATCCTAGTTACATCAAATAGTGAGGCCTTGGACCACACAATAACAGTTAAGGGTTAAATTTTACATAATTCATTATCAAAATAAACATTTGATCCAAAATGTAATTAAGTACAAAATATAAAATCCTAATATTCTTAATAAAGCTAGGGAACCCTAGATAGAAATTCTAGTTACATCACTCTAATAGCGCACCCTTGGACCACGCAATAACAGTTAAGGGTTAAATATCACAATGGTCGAGCCGGTTGCAATATCCAGCAGTTTCTCTCACCATTTTGGTCAGCCACAAGATTTCCAATTATAAAAAAGAATAAACCAGAAAGGACAGAAGAAAACGAGACTCGACAGCTTAATTCCCTCTGCGGTATATTCGATAACAATTTCATCCTCGATATCGTTGCTCGATTAATCGAGTAACACCGAAGAAGAGGAAGAGGAGTAAGAAGAGAAGGTGAAAAGAAGAAAAGGAAGAAAGTGAGATTCAGAGGGCGGCAGAAGGCAAATCACGTACACCGCCGCCTTAGCCGGCTACTGAATTGAATTTCGGACAACACTTACCACGCCAGCCTCATGAATAATGCATTCACCGGAGTGGCTGGTCGCGGGTGTCGCGCATGGAAAAGTGTTGACCCCTTTGACCAAGATGGATGAGCCAGCCGTTGATTATCAAAGACAAACGTGGCCTCCAACCGCGTTTCTTGCGCCCGACTCTCGGCACACCGTGTACACGTCCACAAAAGGGAGCAAACGTGTACGAGGGTCTTTGGCTGAAATTTCCTTCGAACCAGGAATAAACAACTCCTCTGATGAATTATTGAGCAACGATCGAGAGAGGGTGCATCGATCAGAAAGAGGTTTTATATATTGGACAAATAGTATAAAAAGAGGATAAATTAAATTTTAATTTCCATTGTTTTCGTGGTCCAAGGGTTAATTATATGAAACTTCGATTTCGATATTTTAATAAATTTTCACTCACCGAAATTAATTAACATATTCTTATCAAAATAATTAGAAAATTCATTCTTTAATTTTAAAATCCAAAGTTACTTGTATATTACTTATTAATATT